CGGGTTCTCAAGATCGCTTTTTCGCTAACGATGTATTTTTTTGTGCAATATCAATAGCGATTTGATTTTCTGAACATTTTTTTGGAGAAAAAAATGTCTGTGTCACAAAAACTAAATTATTTCCCTAATACTGAAATGCCAAACGCAGACACGTATGTGATTCTAATGATTTTCCTAATTTCAGTTTTGATATGTCAAGGTACAACACTGATATAGGCCGTCCGCGCTACGCGCGGAGAGCAACGCTGTTGCGTCCAGTGAAGATAGTTGAGCGCAGAGAAAAACAGGCGGCGAGAGTGCACGGGGAAAGAGGAGTGACGTGCAATACACACCTTGCGCACTCTCTGCGCCCTGCGCGGCGGCCTATATAATGCCCAGCCTGGCTTTTTTTTTTGGAATATTACAAGTCACTGACGTCACTAACGCTGCCCCAAGCCAGAAAATTTCATAGTAGACACAGAATGCTCAGGATGGTGTCAAACAATAGAGAAAAACATCCTCATTATTTTTGGAAAAACCAGATTCAAATTCATGCTACGGATATCGTTACAATGTCGATGGAATTTCGATTAAATCCGAATTTGATCTCGGTTAGCATTATCGATGCTGAACCTTGACTTTGCAACAAACAATCTCTTACTAAAAAGCGCAACCCCAAAAGCTGCTGAATCCGGAATTTGGTTTTGATTGGAGAAATTTCGCTACCTTCAATTCTGAAACTTTCTTTGAAATCCCCGTTTCAGCATCTGAAGCGACACTGAGTAAGGGGTGGAGCTTGCAATACCTGGGTGGAGGAACGAAAGCTGCCAGTTTGAGCCGCGTTTCGCGGCCAACTGGTCCTTTCGCAGTTTTGTTGCATGTCGTTTCGGGACCAGCAGTCCGCGGAGGCGGCCCAAACTGGCGGCTTTCGTTCCCCCACCCGCAATACCTTGGCATCCTGAGGAGGTCGTAATTATAGCGAATCCGAATCTGCCTGGCAGGCACATCACTTAGGTGCGTGAACATGGCTCGAGTGAAAGACTTTCCACACACAAAAAGGCACAATTTCTGAAGATGTAGCTATCCTGGATAAGAACGAGAGAATCAATGACAACCACCACAAACCTCGACCCCCAGTCTTGCCTTTGCCAGAGTTAGAAGCTATATGAAGTCTATTGAATTTGACAATGCCTACAGTGTCCCTTTCTAACGCCCGCGAGCTGCGTGTAAAAAATGAGCATAGAGCAGATTCCGCGACTGTGCTCCATGGCTAATTTTTACGGACAAGTTGCCGCAAAAAGAAAACTATATTGACCCCACACTGACAGTATACGCGGTACAACAATACCTTACAAATCTTATTGATTTTCGGGACACCAAAACTATCTACTTCCAGAACTGGCTATCAGAATTATCACAGACACAAGTCACCTTCCTTAAATCGGCTGATTCTGGATCGCAAAATGAGATAGATTTTTGAAATATATCTAATCCAAAAGGTTTGATTCAAGCATATCACATTTGAGGCCAAAAAATCAAAGCTTCATCATCAAGGATAGTGTTGGGCGCTAAACCACAACTCACATTCTAGAAACCAAAGGATATGCAATGAAAAGCTACAGAAAATCAGCTCCCAACTCATTCTTGCCGAGAAAGACGAAAGGAGTAAAATTTGAAAATGTAACGAAACGCAACTGCGCAATCATTCCACGAAGAAACATTGTATAGCCAAGCATTCAACTAGCTGAAAATCGACTGAAGTGGAATTCAGCTGTGGACAGACGTCTGCGTCTAGCGTCCAATACGGGGACATTTGCACTTTGCGTTCTAGAATTTTCGAAACATGCACGTGTGGCTAGTCGCACTCACGACGGAAGCTTTGTATTTCACGTCCAATAGGGAGGATATGTCCTCCCTACGCACTGAATGTCAGAGTAGCTGATGAATTCCCTTCCATTTTCATTGGATTTTCAGGGGAAATCGAGTGATACTGGCTCTAGCTCCCTGGATCAGAACACACACGCGTCTAGAGGTTTGTTGTTTCGGAAATTGCGAGGGTTTGTAGTTATATAACTTTGACACTTTGAGATAATTTAGATGCACTTGATAAAAAAACGTGTTTTACTTTTTATAGACTTTTGATAAAGTACACACACTGAAGAGTAAGCTGCGTCAATATTTCCTCAATAACAATCTAAAAAGGGAGTAGAGATAAAACGGAAACAACCAACACAAGGAAATATCGCATGAACTGCCGCTATTCTCGACTTGTTCTGTAGGTTCAAGTAGAGCAACACGTTATAACAAGTTGAACAAGTATAGCACGGAGGTGCATGTAAACTGTCGCAAGGACATATATCGATCATGTCTGAGCAAGACTAGGTGAACGTGGTAATACAGAAAACTTTTTTTATTACATTATTCTTTTTTTTCTTACATGTGACATAGACGCATGCTAGAACCCCATGTTTCTCATTGGCGAATTGTTATTGTGTTAGTTTGAATGTATTTTATTATAGTATTTTTTTGGGTTATAATTGTTTTTATTTTATTAATGAGAAAAGCTGTTGTACAATTCCGTGTTGACGCTTGGGCATCGATGGTACTACTGTCTAGAAAATAATCTTGGCTTTAAAAGCAAAACTCTTTGCGTCCGCTTTTGACCAAATTTTTTGGCTTCAGCTCTGTGCAAGGAATACGTATGATCTCTAAGCAGTAAAGTGATTGTTAATTAAATCAAAAAAGTCTCTTGTCGCATTAGTGTAATCAAAATTAGAACTAAAGGCCACTGCACGACGAAGGCACAGAAGCAGTGTTAGTTGAGCTGGCGCAAACGCGTCGCCAGCATCTTCATTGTAAATCTTGCGCTCCTTGCTCTGCGGCTGAGCCGCGTTCGCTCTTTAAAATGTTGATACTGTTTCCGGTAAGAATAAAATGGCCGAATAATGGAAAACACCGTATTCTTAATGATTTGCTGATCAAAATCGGATGTCAGACCAACGAGCTTTTTTTACTTCAAAAGCTAAGCAGCCAAAATTAGTTTTTGTCGTTACAGCCTTCAAGTTACGGTAGCACAATTTCAAACATTCCTTTTTGTATCCAACTCTGCAACAGTGCGTGTGTGTGCATGTGTGTGCAATGGGGACGAAAGTTTGAAAGGTTTATTCAAAAAGTGGACGTAGGCAGCGCCGACGATGTCGATAACCTGAAACGAAATATGAAAAATCTTACGTCTCACATCCTATTTTCCGATAAGGACTGTGTATTGAAAATGTCAGTCCTGATAATCTCCCTCTGTGCTGTCTGTTTTCCCCTTAGGTCCTATGCAATGTACTGTGATATGAAATTGGATGATTGGGTCGGATTGCCATCCTCCACAGAATACGGGAGAGAGATTGGGTGTGGATGGCCATATATCCTATACAGAGTAAGCTCTCCTCATGTCCAAAGTTGTGTTAGATAAATGTCCTCATTCATAAGATCATCATCATCATCCTCCTCCTCATTCCTCCTCTCTTTATATTGGGAAATGGAGGCTGAAAAATGAAATATAATTTTCCGAGTTAAAACTTCATTGTAGAAAGAGGATAGCAAAGAGGTAACAAGATAGTTAACATGAGGTAGTAGCTCATCGATCAGACTAAAAGCAGCAATCATCCATTCGATTATACCAACCTACAGTCAAAGAGCATAGAATGTGGTTGAGGTAGAGAATTGGTTAATGTCAAAAAGGTAGTTATATTGAAAAATCATTGGACAACACGTTTTACAAACGGAAATGTACCATCAACGTTAGATGTAGATCCATAGTGTGGATTTGGATCGCACAAGCCATGTGCTTCTTCCATTCATTCTGGTGAACGACTGCGTGAACGTGATGGAGATCTCGAGTCGGAGCGGCTGCGTGAGCGTGAACCTCTTGGACTGTATTTTGGTGAAGTACGACGTGGACTGCGCGAACGACTCCTCGAACGACTTCCGGGGCTCCTTCTGCCGCCGCCGCCACCTCGACTACCACTACCCGAGCTCGTGTCTTCACGCACACGAATATATGAGGTTTCTCCCTGAAAAGCGCCATCGTGATGAAATTGATTTTTGTAAATGTGCCCAACCTCGTGTGAACGGAATTTTGTGTCATCCAGCTTCTTCAGTGCATACTTCATGTCATCCAGGCGAGTAAATTCTACTGCTCCAGTTCCATCTCTTGAAACGTCAGCATAGCAAACCTCACCGGCTTCTCTCATGTGGTCCTGAAAGGCGTGGTGGTATAAGCTTCATGCAGGCAATTCCGAAATTTCTTTTCAGAGTTTCATCCGCGCTGCATAAGCGACGCGGTTTGACGCCAATCCACCCGAGACAAAAGATTAATGATTCTGCCGTGGCGTCATACTAAACATTATCACATAACAGTTTTACCTGAAAGTCATCCGTGTATCGTATATCCGCCAGAGTTGTTACTATATGAGATCAACGGGGCTGCCTTTCGATCGTTTTAACAGTTAACTTCAGCAAATTTGAGGCGCTTATACGAAGTTGACATGTTGAAATGATCGAAAGACAGCCACCTTGATGATTCATATGGGAACAGTTCTGAGGGATGCACCATAAAAACGGGTGGAGGACATTAGGCTGCGTTCATACTGATCCTGAAGTCCGGGAACATTTCCAGCATAGCGCTTGAAATGAGCGCTGTGCTGAAACTGTTCCCGGATTTCGAAATCAGTCTGAACGCAGCCTTAGGTCGCCGAATTTGGAAGAGTCCCGCGCGGATTCCCTGCAGGAACGCATGTCCGCGTAAGTACAAGGGTGCGTATTTGTCGCAAATGACCGCGAGGACCCCTCTTTCGGCGACCTAATGTCCTCCACCCCATAAAAACACATCCTCACCTTCAGGTCCTGCCACGATCCAGTTGCTGGAAGTCCCTCGATGACCACACGATAATTTGAGCGGCGTGATGGTGGGCCACCACCGCGTCCACCTCGGCCACCTCCACGGTCTCTGCTGAATCCACCACGACCACCTACTGGTCGTCCACCCGGACCACGTGGTCCGACTCCTCGGGTGAATTCCACTCGGATTCGGGATCCATCAAAGTCGTAGCCGTCACGGCCACGTACAGCATCTTCGGCGTCACTGAAAAAAATCATTTCGATTAATACTTTGGAAATTGTGCAGTGAATATGCTGGCTGATGTCCCAGTGTAGTAGGAGGCCTGTTTTTGGAGAGTGAGTCATCTTTGCTGTGAAAAAATAAGCTCACCGTGCATCCTCGAATTCTACGAAAGCATAAAGTGGTCCGCGGCCACCCTTGATGTCTACGAAGCGAATCTTGCCATATTTAGTAAAGATATCCTCGATATCCTTCTCCCGAACATCAGCCGGAAGATTTCCAACATAAATACGAGTGTCTTCACGGCCCATTCTAGATGAAAAATTTTGAGACTTGCATGTCCATTATGAGGTGATCGCGATTCGCGAATGAGAATCAAATATGTAAAAGGAGACATCCTAGGAGTCAAACACAATGGGTAGAAGCTATGGCCGCGGATGAGAGCAAAAATCGTCACTTGTTTACGCTCCCCGTCTTGTTTACGACGCTGATTCTATCGCATCTGCGCGGCCGAAAACTTATCGATCGCTAGAAAAAGAACACTACATGATTGTTGTCAGCTAATCAAACTTCCTAAAACCTAAAACCATGCTGTGAGACAAAAAAAAATCAAGGAAAAGGCAGTAGACTTGTACATCTTGGAATGACAAGGCAACTATGCAGCAGAGGTTGTGGCGGTATGGCCCATCATATTCTACACCCATTGTAACCATTGTAGGTCAAGTAACAGCCTTGGGTGACTGTTAGACCATCAGGTTGGGACCTGTTTGAGGTGCGATAAGAGAGCGATGGCGAGAGAGACGCTTGCTGCGGAGGCGCCAGCTTTTTTGATGGGTACGGGAGGACTCAAATTTGTAGGTGTCCGTACATTTGATTCTTATGAACTCAAGGATACCAATATGAATTGACTGTTACTTCAATTCCATGTTCTGGTAGATTTTTTTCAGAAAGAATTTTATGCAAAAGGAATCTAAATCTACGAGGAATCAAAAGTGTATTCATACGTTGATGCTTCCATAACTTCAAATTTTGCTACACTTTAATCATCTACATTAAAACTCTCAAAATGCGGCGCTGCAAGTTGTCCTCCTTTCAAGAGAAAAACTCCCCGCCAACATGCCAATAAACTTCTGCAAAAAGTGCATTGTCTCGCCGAAGGTGCACTGCAGCGCCTAGAAAAAGTGGTATACGTCAACGCGGCCGGTGAAGAAATGAAAGCGACGATGCTGGATAGCGTGTGTGCGTGGCTTGCCTGACGATCGATGGTTTTAGGACTGACTAGCAATCGCGCTTACGCTGTGCAGACAACATACGGGAGCGGCAACGAGGTCATGAAGCGGCTGTTAGCCGTGGAGCGCAATACGCCTCCATATTTTTCCGCAAAAAGAGTTCATCGCTGGTGTCAGATTTGTAGCAGTCATTACCTTTGGGCTTTATCAGAACAAAATTATCGGCAATAAGTGGATTTAGCTTTTTTTGTCATGGTAAAATGATAAAAAACATCCTTTTGTACTTACAACTTTTAAGTTTCGAGTACTAGAAATTATTTCGCGTACAAACTCCTAAGGGAGAGCAGCAAACCTAGCATATGCTATTGTAAAAGTAAACCAAGACGTGCGAGACAAAAGCAACCGTATAGGCCAGCAGAGCCGGACAGATGACCTCATTACCCCGCAACTGTGTGGCGACTGCGTTCTCGCGCCAAATCCGATGATTCAAAACACAAAGCAGGGCTTTGCCGACTGCGTTTGTCAGACCGATGTTGGAGACCGAACTAGATCAAGATGTACGAATTCGCCGGAAGCTGAGGAGATTAGATCAGCGAAATCAACCCTTGCAACGTTTCGATTCAGAAGATGAAGCGAAGCCCTTTTGTAATAGATACTACTACTTTGGATACAAGCTTCCTCCACTTGAATGCACGTTCAAATACATACTTTCATGCCAAATCAATAATCGTTTATTAGTACATGCCATAGATTTCAACATTCGCTTCGATATTCATAAAGGACATCTAACTCAACGTGAAGGCATTCTTCACTTAGTCCCTTCTGTTAGGTAGGCGCAGACTAACCGATTGCCTACTTCAGCAGGACGTGCGCACTGTCATTTGATGTCACGTTGTAAGGAAATCGAATCGGCATGCGCGATTTCGCTACAACAAAGATTTTTCACTGGTAAAGTCTTTCTATCAATCTCTCATTCTGCGAGGTTTTTTTAAATCATCTCTTCAAAACTACTGTTGTTGCGAACATCGCAGACGCCACTTTGGTTTCCGTCCAACATAACGCCAAACGACATCAGCTTACTAGTTGCGCAGCGTCCTGCTAAAGCAGGCAATCGGTTAGTCTGGCGCCTACCTTATGTGAGTACGGGTCAGGGGTCACGATTTTTCGCGGAGCGGCCCGCAATACGACGTCAAGCAATACAGGCCTCGGCTCCCGTCAGTACTCCTGCCGCAATGCCACTTACGGCATCGAGTCATGTATCTGTTGCCATCCCCGACACCCTAATGTGCTGCCGTGCCACTTCAGCACCGGGGAGTTTTTATGAGGGACAAATCCTGAGCGCGACAAGCGGCAGGCGCGCTCGATGTGACTCCTGACCCGGAGCCTGTGACTCCTGACTTATGTAGCGCTCGATACGACGTACTCGCACTTCGATCAATGAATCACCATCAAGTATGCCAGTTCTCTGCATCATTTTCGGGGTTTCGGAAAAGTCAAGAATCTGGTAATTGAAAAAGACTGATCCGCCAAACCTTGTAACTTCCCATACACAAGTATTAAAGTCGAATGAAAGATAAAACTTCCGAAGAATGAGTTGTACTATGTCGATAATCCATTGCGGAGGAGCTTTTGTCGCAATAGCCCCCGTATATGACCTCACTGTTGAAGTGTGAGATAAGCAGTAGCTCGTATAACTCCATAAATTTCAAGGGCAGCCTTTGCTTGCATGAACCCTCCAACAATGCTATGGTTGAAATACGTGTTTCTCTGCACAATAAAACATATGAGAAAAAAAATTTATTCTAAAAAATTGACAACATTCTCTTGTACAGGAAGCACAGGAACGACGTCGATACCTGAAATAGCAAATAGAAAATCTTACGTATACTCGTCCCTCCCTAATCGTATTCGTCCCGTGATCCCCATAATTTTGTTGTGTGATTGTGAGTGATTGTGTGAGTGTTTGTCCCCTTCCCTCCTACGAATTCGATTTGACTGTCCACACATCCGGAATCGTATACTCCTTTGATGGTGGTCAATCACATATCCTACACGTCCTCTTATCTCCTCTTAGATAACATTTCTTTATGCTCCTTTCTCCCTTCTCATTGTGGAATGGAGGCTGAAACACGTTCGTTATTTCTTGTAAAACTTCATTAAACGCGGCGATAAAAATAATTAACAGCCATTGGCCCCTCGACCGATGTATATATTCACAGCTGCTTGTGAAACGTGTACTTGAATGTGTAAATGGAAAATTTGTAATAAATGTTTGAAAACACAAGGTTATGCAAACGGAAATGTACCATTAATGTCATTGAAGATCCATTTGAATGTGAAGATCGACTCAATCGCGCGATCGGCTGCGAGAACCAGATAATGAACGCGAAGCTGATCGACTACGCGAGATTGAATGACGAGGGCTATATTTGGGAGATGAACGACGAGGACTACGAGATCGACTTCTGGATCGTGCATTACTGCGACTTCCGCTGGTAGAATCTTCACGTACACGGATATATGCCGTCTCTCCCTGAACAAGTCGCTCGAAGAAAACTAGATACAAAAACAAACCTCAACGTACCTCATGCGAGCGGAATTTGGTGTCGTCCAATTTTCTCACAGCATATTTCATGTCATCATACCGAGTAAACTCGACCACTCCAGTACCGTCTCGAGCAACATCAGCGTAGCAAACTTCTCCAGCCTCTCGCATGTGATCCTGAAGATAACCGACAATCAAGAAAAAAACGAGATGGTGTCAGCTATGTCAAAATCAAAAAATACTCAAGGATATAGAATTCGCGGAAAAAAAATCCATCGAGAAACATACTTTCAAATCTTGCCAGGATCCAGTGGCGGGAAGTCCTTCAATAATAACACGGTAGTTAGATCGACGCGAAGGTGGTCCACCACGGCGTGGACCACTGAATTCTCTGCCTCCTCCGTATCCACCATTCAATGGACGACCGCCTGGCCCACGAGGTCCAACGCCTCGCGTAAATTCTACTCGAATGCGACAACCGTCAAAATCGTAGCCGTCACGACCACGGATAGCATCGTCAGCATCGCTGCAATGAGATACCATAGAGATGGTAAGAAAGGCAGTCAAAAATACTGAAGAGCAAATAAGTAGTGGAGCAGCCATTCCCCGAAAAACCTACCGAGGGTCATCGAAGTCGATGAAGGCATACAGGGGTCCACGACCTCCTTTTATGTCAATGAATCGAATCTTTCCGTATTTTGAAAAGAGATCTTCGATGTCTTTTTCGCGAACATCCGGAGGCAGGTTTCCAACGTAAATGCGGCTCTCTTCACGCGGCATTCTGAAGAAAAACTTCCCATTAAATGCAGGAAAACAACACTTGGATGACTTCAGATGCATCTGCTCCTAGTATGACAGATAGAAGATAGTGATTTTTGCCAAAAACTTGAAAAACGAGAATGCATGTGAGCACGACAAAATCGACGTCATCAATGCGGTTGGGCTGACGCGCAGGCACGTGTCTGCGTCGCGTTAGCTGCGTATCGACGTCGATATGGCGCGAACTGCAAAATGCCCTCCTCACCGAGGTAGTTGAAGTGCTGCCATATTGGCAACAAGTGGGGGTGTAAATGAGGTTGACTAGGGTTTTTTATTGGAATGGAAATGAAGGTATTGTCAGATGACAAGTTTATACCTGTCATCTGAAAGCTGACATCTTGTCATCTAGCTAATTTATTTTTTGCTACTTCAGGCTTCGGGCAGAAACCACGCGATTTGACCGCGGCAAGACGTGCATTACAAGTTCATTGCATGCCGACCAGCTTGCACTTAGGTTGTGATACTTTTCCAGCCCAATTTTTGAAGGTAAAAGAAGAATGGAAATCGCGGCGACTGAATCGCGACGATCAAGTCGCGTAAACTCTGTCCGAGGCCTGAGGGAAAAACAAACCTAAGCTGCTTTAGATAAGGGGTAGGGGAACGAACTCCGCCAGCTAAACCGCCGTCGCGGACTACTGGTCCTGCAGGGGAGAAGGTCTTCGCACGGGCGGTCTCCAGCGCTACCCTGATTTTGACTTGTCTTAAGACGTCACGCACGCCGCAAATTTTTCTTTCCCTTGCTTTGCTTAGGCAAAAGCCGCCGCAGGGTGTATCGCGCGCGACAGCGGTCCTGTGTGGGAAGCAGTACGATCGTGCGAATCGTCCTACACCCCCTTATCTAAAGCATAGACTTGTTTTGTCCTCAAGTAGCAAAAAATAAACTAGATGACAAGTATAACGTATAGGCCTTACCCTTAGCAAACGGTTGGCGATCCGCACGACCGTGCTTTCCACACAGGAACGCCACGTGTGACACATTCTGCGGCAGCTTTTGCCTGAGCAAAGCAGGGAGAGGGATTTGCGACGTGCTGACCTGATCTGCTGCTGCTGACACTGCTCCTTTAAAGGCAGTAGGTCGGCAGAATAAGACCCGTGGCGAAACAAGGTCACAGGGTAGGAGCCCCCATATGGAACCTATCGGCCAAAGTTTGATCTTTCTCTGTCACTTCTAACCCCCGGAATTTCAAAGCGAAAGCAGCGCTCATCTCCTGTCCTCTCCGAACCCGCCCACCGCACGGACGAGTGAACGCGAGGCCCGTCATGGCGAAGACGCAGAGTCGTTGGACCTCATGATTATAGCATTGCGGCTGGCGCTCTGACCGCGGAAGTCACTCGTCCATGGGGTGGGCGGTTTCGGAGAGGACAGGAGATGAGCGCTGCTTTGGCTTTGAAATTCCGTGGGTTAGAAGTGGCAGAGAAAGATCGAACTTTGGCCGATAGGTTCCATATGGGGGCTCCTACCCTGTGACCTTGTTTTGTCACGGGTCACATTCTGCCGATCTACTGCCTTTAAAGGCAGTGTCCAAGCAAAAAGTCGATTTAGATTTTGTGCTTACCTGGGCCTATTCGCTATGCTGAATTCGAAAATCAACACTAAAGAGCGCGAAAACGGCAAAAAAAGCTCTAACGGAGGAGGAAAATTACAGGTAGCGAGGCTTTTCACACCGTGACGTCACTCTCCCAGCTTCAGGAGCGACCTTCTCGCTTCCGCTAGTCGCTCTAACATCACCACCAGCCACGCGAAATGCATGACATAAAATCGGAACCGGGAAGATCGCTCATAAAGCCTGAAAAAGTGACGTTACGGTGTGAGCGGCCTCGTCCACCTGCGATTTCCCTCCTACGTGAGGACCTTTTTTTGGCGTCTCGCGCTTTCTATTGTAGTTTATCGAATTCAGCATGGCGAATAGGCCCGGATAAGCAGAAAATCTCAAAATCGACTTTTTGCTTGGACACTGCCTTTAAGACAAGTCAAGATCAGAGTGGCGCTGGAGATCTCGAAAATCCGCGAAAACCCCGACAAACCCCGTTTCGGAGAACCCGCAGGGCGAGTTGTGCGAACGTGATTGGTTAGGTGCGCTCAAATGGGCGGGACGAACGTCACGATCACTCAAAGGGGAGGAGCCAACGTGGCGAATCCCTCATCCAAAGCGATTTTTAAAGCAATTATCTCGCTTTGGAAGCAACTCCTGGCAGCGTGAGTTGGGCAAGTTTGCAGCTGGGGGCCCCACTACTGTTAGGCATCAAGATCTTATCGACCACGTTTTAGGTGAACGGTGACTTTAAGACATGAAAATCAGGGCGGCGCTGGAGACCGTCCATAAAGACCGTCTCGCCGCTCCTCCGCAAACTACTAGGGATTTAAGTCCTTTACAAAGCTTCTCTTTCTTCTCTTCGTCGTCCCGCGAGCATTCTCAACTTCACATTCCGAAAAAATTCCGAGTTCAGGAAACTCAACAATTGAGTTTGAATTCATAGAACCAGAAATTCAAATTCAGCATACATTCGGGACGCTGTCGAGGGATAACCTCCGTAAAAGCAAACCTCTCATGTTTCTGCGATTCCCCAAATGCCAAGTGCTTCGTGGATAGTCAGATCCACGAATGATGCAGCAGACTAATCAGTCGTTACCTCACGCGTCCACTACGCTTATGGCCTAGGGCATAGTGACCACTATTCCGTCGCTCTGCGATTTCCGTGAAGTGACAACCGTTACGCACTTTTGCATAAATGAGAAGTGATTCAAATCAGAAAACATTACCAAAGTTGAAATTTTTTTTTTATGATTAAGGAGGTAATGCTGAAGGTAATTGAGATGTGAGATGTGAAGCCAGCTTGTACCAAAATTAGATTTTCACACTCTGATTTCGGGGCTTGAACTAGACAAGAAGTGTGGCCAACCTGCCGCCCCTCATCATGTTCTCGTGTCTGCTATGGCGGTTGTGGTAATCGTCCGGCGCGACGGATCGCAGACCCTTTTTGGAGTATAGTTCCCCAGCGATAATCGCCGCGATTTCGGCGAAACCCAGCGATGTCGTGTCGCGCGTGCTGCACAGGCGACTGGATGATATCACTGAGGTGCGAGGGAATTCGCTAGAGTTCTCATAGACAGGCGTTGTTTTTCAGCTTGATTTCCTTGACATAGAAGGGGATCTCGTTTGAAGTAGTTGTACAAAGATATAGTCTGCCCCAATCCCAACCAGGCCAAAATTGGCATGGCGGGAGCCCGCGCCGCTAGGTCTTCGCGGTCACGCCCACAGTCTGCTTCTCTGCTCTCTCTTCAATCCTTTTGCTTTCTCCGACAGCGCGCATATGCAGCGCAGACCACTAGCGCTGCGAGCGCGCAAACTTGCGCCGGCGGTTCGGCCTGATCCCAATTGGAGCAGACTGTACTTCGAGTTTCGACGCCTTTTGCATAATTATGAGTAATCTTCGAAAATTTCAATTTTGAAAGCATTCGTTCTGCTTGATTGATTATCTCTCCAAAATAATAGCGCGCGTGCGAGAATGATATTGTGGAAAACTCCTCAGTTATACGAGCAAAACACCATTTTAAAACGATATGATTCATTTTTCGGTCATATTTTGAGAAGAGCTTCGAAAACCTCGTTTTGAGAGCAGCTGTTCTGCTTGAATTCAATTTTTCTCACCAAAATATGAGGGTGAGTGAGAGTAGTGATCCTCAGAACAAAACACTATTTCAATACGATATGATCCATTTTCGCTCAAATTGTGAGAAAATCACCGAAAACTTCTCTTTGAGCGGTTGCGGCAATAATGGAATGCTGATAATGGAATTTTATTTGGGAAAATTATAGGTTTGAAACAGCATTCATCTAAGGGTTTGCCCCAACCCGCTTGCTAGCGACCCATAAGGTCGCTAGTCCTATATAAAACTGGCTACTGTTTGTCTATCTATTGCCTGTCTGGGCGTCTGCCTGTGTGTGCATGTATAGCAGATTCATCGCACGCAAAGACTGCAGACATATCGGCGTCTCTGTGAACAAGCGCTCTTTCGTTTCTCTTGCCATCTGCTGTCTCTCCCAGGCGCGAGCTATCTTGGTCGACGCAACGGCGCCCAGTCTTTGCGTATTTTGAACCGCGGATACGTACGTATGTTCCTACAGGGCTCCTAAAATGCAAAGTCGTTTGCACCAGCGGTCGCGCGACCGCGTCGCGCCCGGGCATCAATGGCGCTGCCTCGATCGATGGCGCCTGCGCCGACATAATGCCCGGGCGCGACGCGTTCGCGCGACCGCTGGTGCAAACGACTCTGCAATTTAGGAGCCCTGTAGAAATCCTTATATATGAACCGATCCAGAAACTTGGCACACACATACATTTCGGGGGGCGGGTGCCCTATGCTACTTTTCGTTATCGATCGGAATCGATTTTATCGATTTCATCGATTGCAAAACTATCCATCACTTTTGTCGATTTTATCGAGTTTTTGCAAAGTTGTGCTACGAGCTGGAAGTTGGCACAGGGGGATAATCGAGCATGCTGATTACGCATACAATACTATTTTCGAAATTATCCGTTACTTTATCGACATTACCGATTTTTTGTATTCATTCGGTATGGGAATAGGAACGTTTAGACTACGCCCTGGGCTCAGCCCTCGTGTGCGACATCATTTTTTGCAGGAAAGAAAAACGCTGTTTCTGAAGCGAAGTTTGCGATGTAATAATCATTTGCTAAGCAATTTCCTGCTAAGCCTAAGGTTTTTCATCCTAACCTCCCCCCCCCCCCCTGCTTACGACCTCCATCTAGGCTGATCCATATTCTGCTCTATATCCAAAGCTCGAAGACGAGCTTTCTGATATCGTTACAACCCTGCTCAAGAAGCAAGTTCGCCAAGACAACCAACCTCTGACAGTGACCAACGGTCGCTGACACTAGCCGGTTGCCTTGCCCCCCCCCCTGTACCTGTGCAATCAAATTTGTATGAATAATGTGAATCCGCTAACACATCAAGTGAGGGAACAGCGGACCTTTGTAACTACAGGTCTGATTGCGGGCGGTATTATATTCCATCGCGTATCTGCTGTCAATGCTTCCATGGTCCTAGAGAACAAGAAAAATTGCTCTAAGCAGTATCATGCAGCACCAAATTTCTTCTCCAGATCAGCTGAAACCAAACTCAGAAGTGCAGGCCAAGGCAGAAGGTGCACAGACAACAAAAAACAACGTGGAAGAAGCTCGTATTTATTATCAAAACCACCATTATAGGCCATTGTATATATGGACCATAGATCGTAATGAAAATTGGTCAATATCTGCTCATAAACAATACAACAGTTCGTGTGCACATCATACAAGGTGAAAAGTAAGCGATAAGCGAGAGGGTCAAAGGGACTAATACTGTTTGGATCACAGTAACAAACATTAGAGGGGTACATTTTCTGCTCCCGTAAGAGGAACATGATGGGCATTGACACCACACGAGAAAAGGAATGGGGTTGGGAAGTTAAGGCGAAGAATGGCCAAGATCAACAAGCCAATAGCGCACCAAGTGAATCTTATTAACATGTAAAGATTGCAAAAAGATGCCGATAAATATACATTGCACAGGGTTTTTGTCAAGACTAGCGTTTTTCTAGCTCTAATTACAATATTTGCAGTAGCGAAATGGACAGAATTAGAGGAGATGACTATAGCAATCTCAGTACCGTTAAGTAAGTTCAAGTCTCATTGTCAGCCTGCCAGCTACAACTGCAAAAGATAAAGTTTTGATTTTCTAGAATCTTCGACGGTGTCTCTAACAAATCCGCGAAGTTTGAAGACATATGAGCGCTTCAACCTGATTAGAATGATAGCTTAGGAATTTGCGTAGCTTCGATAACATTACAAAACTACTTTAAAGAAGCAATGCGTGTTACAGAATTTCAAGAAAAAAATTATTCAGCCATGTTAGTTCAGAATGGAAATGATAAAAGGTTGGAAAAGTAAAAAAATTCACATAAAAACTATACACACTTGGAAACAGAAAGACATAGAGTGAACCCGGAACGGATTTGCAATCACCACCTTGATGTACTTATAGTGGATTCATTGTCATCATTCTCCAAGGACAGCCGCAAAAACGTTTCCTCCAATGAAGATTGCGTTACGCAGAAATCCACCACTCCTAGTGAAGCGGCTAATGATTGAACTTCGCGGAACAACGATGACCACCGATCTGTTTGACTCTTGGGTATCTGAAATTTCTAAGGTCCATGGAAAGCATACGTAAACAACGAAAAAAAGTCATAACGATGACAGGACAAGACCAAAAAGACCAATAAGCAGATTATGCACTCACTTGCCACTTCAAACTTAAGGTTAAGCTCTCCTTCGGTGTTTTCAAAACGGCACGAGGGAACGCCCTTCTGACTCCTTCGATGACGTCACTACGAGATTCTAAATTTGGTGCAACCATCGAGATGGTGAAACTGTTGCCAAATCTGCAATTTGATGTTTGACCAAAAGTAAAAATAAAGTTCCAGTCTGAAAGGAACAAGTTGCATATTACGTAATCGATGGCGAACCTTGATTTCAGCTGCTGACTCGTTCCTATCGCAATCATCCGGCCTTTTTGTAAAATGGCTATTCGACTGCATAAGGCTTCACATTCGTCCATACTATGCGAAGTAAGCAGTAGAGCTGATTCCGAGCTATCGCGCATCATCGACAACACTTCCCAAATTTCACGACGTGCCTAAATAAAACAATAATCAAGAAATAAAGCTAAACAACGAGTTTACAAAAAACGAGCCTGATCCACAAAAAAATTTAGAGACGCTTACCTTCGGATCGATGCCTGCTGTGGGCTCATCCAATATTATTATTCTCGTGGGGGCTAGCAAGGCGAGGCCCACACTGATTTTCCGCCGTTGCCCTCCACTAAAACCCAGCAATCAACCAATGGCGCGTATCACAAGTAAAAGTAAGTAGCATGCCTGTAGTAACGGATCAGCTTGTCCGCATGATCTACCATTCCTACAGAGTGAAGCACCAATTCAGCTAACTCCTTTGGCTCCGGGAAGCCGTGCATTCGCGCTAGTATCTGAATCGCGATAGATTACTGTGTCCAAAGTCAGAAAAGTGCTGCCAGCATTGAATAAATATTAAATCAAAGTGACAAGTCATATGCACAAAAACGAAGAAGAACTGCACTACCTCCAAGCTTTCTCTGCCGGTCAAATCCAACATCAAAGCGTCAAATTGTGGACAATAACCAATGGGCTAAAAACTAAGTAATTTTAAGCAAAGAGGAATACAAGGACTTACAAACGATAACAGACAGAAACCACAAAGTCAGATATAAAGCAAGCAATGATCACCAAGCTTACAATTTGCTCTGTCACGTCTCGCTTGTCTATACGAGCTGTTCCAGCTGTCGCAAATGACTGTCCAGTGAGGATGTCAAACGTTGTAGTCTTTCCAGCACCATTCACTCCCAAGAGACCAAAACACTCTCGACTTCGCACTCCCATAGTGAGTCCGTCGACAGCTCGTAATCTTCCATACATTTTGCACAAATCCTGAGAAATCGCATTTAAGGTTGTCAAACAAGAAAAAAAATTACAAATCGCAAAATGGTATGCCAAGATTCATAAACATTCGCTTGGGATTTTCGAAATCTTTTCAAAATTTATATACATACCTTGACTTCTAAAGCCATGTCATCGCCAGATTCATTTACATACGTTCGTTCTTCTCTTACTGCAGAATCTTCCTCATCATGGGCAACCTAAAAATACAAAACGGATGTGCTTGAAGGCAGCGGTTCGGAAGAATGACAACTTGGGGATATTCAGTGTTCTTGGTTGGATGAGCTAAGTCCAGGACTGTGCATTGCAATTTCAAAAGATATTAATAAGCTGCTTTTCTAGACGTGACTGCTATTTGGGCGGACAGCGTATGCTTGCCATCTAGAGCGGGATTGGCTCATGAGTGGAGACATCGTACCCATCTTGGCGACAACTGGATTATTGGCTCCAGCAACCACTTTCACAACCCGTCCTTTTCAAGTATGGAAAAGCGGGTTATTGATACCTTTTGAAACTGCAAAGCACTGTTTTAGACTTACAGTCTGCTCCAATTGGGATCAGGTAGAAGCGTCGACGTAAATTTTCGCGCTCGCAGCGCTAGCGGTCTGCGCTGCATATGCGTGCTAACAGAAAGAGCCAAAGGATTGAAGAGAGAACAGAGAAGCAGATCGTGGGCGTGACCGCGAAACCCTAGCGACGCGAACTCCCGCCATGCCAATTTTGGCCTGGTTAGGATTGGGGCAGACTGTAGCTCATCCAGGCAAACCGAGAACGATGAAACTCCCACAGTTGTCATTCTACCAAGCCGCGCCTTTAATGAACCTAAGCTGTCTTGAGTATCAAGCTTCTAATTTCGGAAATTTACGGCGAAGAAAAAACGACAAACAAACGCTAAAAATGACAAGACAAAAAAAAAAGAACTGACTCTTCCATAGTTCCTTCGTCCATATCGCAAATCCCATATCTGATGCCACCGGAACCTCACAGTTTTGAATTGGAACAACACGAACAGTAAGGAGGAGAAGCATCCGAATATAAACATGAATGTCAAGTTTTTGCCTAAGATAGATTTTTCCAAAAGAGGATAGGAGCTGAAAACGATGACGACGAGATATGTACCCCACCTAACATACTCCACTCCCATAAAAGATGTGGCGGAAGTTTCTCCGATGAAGACTGTCCGACGGTCATCACAGCGTTTCCAATAGCAAAAGAAGGAAGGAAGCAAAGCAGTATCGACTGAAAGGTTGAAACATCAAATACAGAAGAATAAAAAAGCTACCATTTTTTAAGCTAAAATGTCGAATCATCGACACAAATGTTAACATGATTATGGTCATCAATGAAAGGAGCATATAATGACGGTAAAACTCACTCTGATAACTTCAAGCAAAGACCGATCAATGGTTTCTTGGAAACTCAACAAGAACAGAACCAGCATAGCTGCGAAAGCTGCAACCAGCTGCCAGATAATCAACAGCACATTTGCTTTTGATGGTGATGAGAATACGAAGGACACTGTATAGACGAACGGAACACAAGCCCAGAAGTACAGAGCGAAGAGAAGAATGATACTGAAAACATCGAGTGATTCGAGATAACTGCTGAAATATGAAGACAACATACAATTGTAAATAACCCTGCATCCAACCAGAAAACAGAAATACTGATAGGAAACAAGTACAAGCAAAAGCATAAAGCAAAAAGTCGTATACAAAAGAGACCACCCAGAATGTGACAGGCGAAATACCCGTCAGGGTTTGCTGCAAAAATTGACAAAAATCAAATTATACAGAAAATTGTCAAGGCCGAAGAACACCGATAATATCATAAGAAAAGAAAATCAATACCTGATGGGCGAATTTGCTCACTCGTTCCTCGACCAAAAACATCACGAAAGTTGACGTAAGCAAAGCCAACGCCAACACTAATATGGGTCCCATGACTGAGTCCACGAATCCCACGGTAACATATCGTGAGCTCGTTGCAGCAGTTGCAGGGGGAGTATAAGCATGTAGCCGAGTGTGTATTGCTGCACTACTTGCTAAATTCAGCACATTCAATGATTTCTTCGAATACAACAAGAAAAACGCCTCACCTCCAGATCCTTCAGCTTTCAACAATGCATTGTCCACCAAATTCAATGAGCTAGGCAAGGAATGATAAGCTCGGCTATTGAACAACACTTCTATCGAATTTTTCTCAAATATAGCACCCAGTCCTGGGGCTGGTAACTGTTTTGGTAGATCTTCAATCCATTTCGTCAAGTTATCATTTGCACCAAACTGGGTGACCTACAAAGGGAACATAAGAGATGGCGTAGACTGTGCACATACGCATCAAAGCTGAGTGTTCCAGGACTACTTCCAAGCAGACTACAATTCGTTCTCAAGAAAAAGACAAAGATCACTTTCTTTTCTTATCGCCAAACATTTTTGTAGAATCGCCAAACATTTTTGTAGAATCAATAAAAAAAGAAAAGATTAGGACCTTCTTTTTCCAGCTTACCCAGGTTGATGATAATTAACCAAAGAAATGCGAATTAATTTGTTGGTCCAGGAAAAATGACTTCGCTCGGTCAAAAATCTGACCAATTTACCATGCGCCCTTGGTTCATGCACCACTAACTTTCAATTCACAATCTTGTTCACCCCTGCAAGCCCGCAAACTGATCCGGTTCCATAAATCAAACCTTAACGAGACTCACTGGAAACTCTATCGAAGGCTGATTCAATAAAAACAGAAACTAAATTTTGATCAAAGCCAAAAGGCTCAGAAGCGATGCCGACACTGCACACTTGCAGTGCACCTTTTCGCGCGTCGTATCCGCGACCAGCGAGAGCTAATTTGCCTCTGCTAAACGCAGAGAAACACATCGATAACGAGGGGGAGAAAAGGCTGCATCATTTTCGAAAATGCGGCGTGCTCTCCTGCTCACCTGTTGGCGCCCCATGACTCTTACAAACTCAAACCATAAGAAATGATTTTTCAAAAATGCTTACCATTGCATCCGGGTTCGATATGGCCATATTCATGTATACATTCGCGATTGTAGAATTCTGAGCAATTACCACTGGTATTCGGGAAGGTCCAAACGAATCCAGCGAGAATGCCCTTTCTAAAAATTAAAGGGATCTTTATGCCATGACCTCCCAACTTTCCACTGGAACTCGTTGGGTAAACGCCTAAAAGGTCTTTTTACCCGGTCCAAAGCTCAGATTCGGGTTTTACCTGTCGAAAAAGCCCAAAACATGCAGAAAGATGGAATTGCAAAATCTGCTAGGACACTGCCTTCGCCTTCCTTTCTACAAGACAGAAAGTATTTTCCCAGATAAACACTCATCTCCACCAGCAGACCCAGTCACTTGAGCACTTTCATTTTTGTAAACGAAAGCAAGATTAACTTATAGGCAGTGCGAGGCAAGTCTGGACACATGAGGATCTCACGTGGATAGTAAATTTGGGGCCCTAACTAACCCATTGCCCAATCGGCAGTACAGGTAGTGCTCCAACAGCTGAGATATTCCCTTTGGAACTGGACCGTATCGTATTTCGCATGGATTCGTGGCGCAAAGCGTGAGTCCCTGCGCGAAGCTGCCATGAATCCATGCGAACACGATCCTGGGATCCACTTTGAAGGCGCATATCTCAGCCGTTAATGATACACCTGCGCTGCCGCTTTCTACGCAAAATCCCCACAGGTCCAGATCTGCCTGGACGCTACCTTTAAGGTAAAAGCTTTTCCGCACCAGCGACACCCAATCGCACAAATGTTTACTTTTCTACAAGTCAAAGTGAGATTTTAAAATAAACGCCTTCAGTAAACTTTTTGGCAAAATTTCTGAACATCATCTGCGGCGCGAGTTACCTAAATGTCCTTTCTTCTGAGACAGCAAGACTCAGTTTCACGTATTTTGGTGTAGACAAAAGATAGATCTCAAAAGCTTGTAAAAGCAAAATTGCCATCAAGCTCGCACTATTTCTCAAAACAGTGCTCTGGAAAGCGTCAAATTTTGGTTCTACCATGAGACTTAGTTGCTCTGGCGATATACCCTTCGTAGCAGAGAAAAACAAAATAAAAACCTAAATGCATTCAAAGGCAGAATTTTCGTCTGAGAACATAAACTGGGAATGTCGAAACATCTTCACCACCTGCAAAATCCGTAGTTATAATCACGTAAGACGATGGGGCAACAATCTTGCCGGGCGAATTTTCATAGTGATGGCTCATATATATTGAACACCAACCAGAAGAAACATTTGCCTTTTTTATGGATGTTGCTCAGGATCGCATATGAAATCATGTCAATTATGCGAAAACATCGTCTTGATACTGTTGATGTGGTACCTGCTATGGTATGTTTACAGTGGGGCGTGTCCGCATCTCGTCGGGCATGTGCTCGTCTATCTGCTATCGCGTACGGAAAGTGCAGAAATTCATGATACTATACGTAGTGATCTCACAAAGACTTGAGAGATCTTTTTTCATTATGCGACTAAAACATCACAAAAGCTGCATCAAACGAATTCTATTTTATATGAACTGACTTTGTGAAAAAAGTGCTAGGATAGAGCAAAACATGTTAGAGAGTTCCAACATACATTTCAAACATAGCGCAGAACCTTACTCTTTAGCTTTCAAAAATCACGAAATTGATTGTACTGCTTCATGCTCGCACCCACAACGCCGGGGCAGTCTCCACAAACGCCGACCTCCACGCTCTTCTCGACGCTGCAGAGCACGTCAAGTACCACGTCATCACTTTGCAGGAAATGAAGTCCAGGAAGAAGGACGTTCGACAGATGAGTGATGGGACCCTCATCATTCGTGGTGAGAAGGTTCCACCACGAAACGTTGGAGTCGTTGGCTTTATCGTCCATCCATCTTGTTGATTCGCATGAGATCCTATCTCCTCGACTAGCCATCCTACGACTAGGACCTCCACTTCAGAAGGCCATCGGCACCATCATTGCTACTCTCCAACATCAGCAGCTACGACTCAGAACTAGATGTTTTCTATGAAGATGTGAAGGAGGCCGCCCGCAGCGAGAGGTCCTTTGTTTGTTGTGGGCGACTACAACGCAAATCGAAATGCCACTGAAAAAGGAATATAGGATCGAAAAGTTTGGATATGGGCCTCGGAACAAGATGGCAACCCTCTCATTGGGCTTTTCTCCGCCATACAGTCGAGTAGATTTAGCGGTAAATATAGTGTGCTTGCACAGAAGGTGAAATGCGGTAAAATTGGCGCGTGAAGAAATAGCTTCGACTGTGACGCCGGCCAATTGCGCGCGCAAAATACCCGCAGTAGTGGCGTGGCTACTTGTTCACGCGCAAATTTCACCGCATTTCACCTTCTGTGCAAGCACACTATATTTGCCGCTGAATCTACTCGACTGTACGACTTTTTCATGGAAATTCCATCTTCATGAAGAAATCGCCAGTGGACATGGGAATCGCCCAACGGAACGACTCATGCGAAGATCGACCACATTCTCACCAACCGAAGGTGGAGCTTGCTCGCCATCTCAGAAGTGCCATCCTTCTGCAGTGACTCCGATCACCGTCTCCTTCTAGCGAAGATACGATTCAATCGAAAGCAGGAAAGGGTCTGCCACAGTGCCGCAAGAAGGAAGAGGGTCGTTCATGTTCATGACGGTAACAGGCTGGAAGGGCTCATATCAAGTTGTGACTGGTCTATTGAGGAGACCCAACGTACGACTACGATCGGTTTCTGAGGGTTGCGAGCCTGTAGAGAGTGCGCCTGACTTCTGCGAAGAACTTGAAACGCACTTCAAAGACCACCAAGGAATTGCTCAAAAAAAGAGATGTCTGGGGCAGGATTCGAATGCAATCCATTTCAAGCGATTGATAGCTGCTTGCTGAGTGTGCTGTACAAGCTTTTCACGAAGATTATCCTCGCTCGCATATCTAGGACACTGGATGAATCTCAACCCCAGAATCAAGCTGGATTCCGCAAGGAATTCAGTTGCATGGACCACATCCAGAAAGTGCGGTTTCGAAAGTCATAGAAGTCTGCCGGGAGTACCGACTGCCTTTCGTCCTAACCTTCGTCGAGAGAAAACCTTCGACAGCGTCGAAACCAACGCCATCCTGTCATCGTCAGTCGATCAAGGAGTGGACCCAGCCTACGTGAGGACACTAGCCAACTTCTACAAGGACTGTACAACAACCATGCAGCTATTCCATCGCCCTGACCATTCCAATCGGGAAGGGGGTTCGACAAGGTGATACTATTTCGCCGAAGCTGTTCACCGCGGCCTTGCAGTGGGTGATGAAGTCACTGGACTGGGACGAGAGAGGCGTACGAGTTGATGGGAGATTCCTGTTTAACCTCCATTTTGCGGACGACATCGTCCTCTTCTCGAGCAGTATCACCGAAGCAGAGACGATGCTGAAGGAACTAAACGGAGTTGGGAAGATCGGACTGCGAATAAATCGGAAGAAGACTCAGTTCATGAGGAGCGCCCTTTGCGAAGATGCAGAAATGGAATTGGAAGGCACCCCGATTATGGAGACGTCTTCTTACGTGTATCTCGGACGTTCGATGAACATAGAGAATGACTTGAGGGAAGAAGGACAGGAGAGAAAAGGAGAAGAAAAGCAGCCTGGGCCGCCTGCGGGCCTCTGCGGGAAGCCAGCGACCAACTACGGACCCGGAGCTTCATGCCCACCTGTTCGACTCAACCGTTTTCCGTGTGCTCTGTTACGCAGCTGAGTGGGCTTACACCGTAGCCACGTCGAAAGCTCTACGGACCACCCATAGAGCGCTCGAGCGCAGTCTTCTGAAGATGACCCGACACAAACAACATCTTGTCGGACTTCGCGGTAGATATGAGAAGAAGAATGTCCCGTATTCGTGACTCAGCGGAATACGTTGCGAAAGCGAAGCTTCGATGGGCTGGTTACATTATGAAAAGAATAGACAGTAAGGACAACACGAACATCGGAGCGGATTACTCGCGAAGCAAAACGTCCCCGAGGGAAGACCTCCAACGAGATGGGCAGACGTGTTCATGGAACGGATGGACCGGGTGGAGGACTATATGTCGCCGAATTTGGAAGAGTCCCGCGCAGATTCCCTGCAGGAACGCATGTCCGCGCATGTACAAGGGTGCGTATTTGTCGCAAATGACCGCGGGGACCGCCCCTTTTTCGGCGACATATAGTCCTCCACCCGGATGGACCAGCTGAGAAATTAGCTGAATACGATTTGCATCTGGAACATGTGGACGCAGCCACCGGCGTAAGCCAAGAAGATCGTTGTCTGAAGCGAGAGACAGGAAGAAATGGAAACTTCTGTGCTGGGGCTCGCACGTCCTACACGGGAAGATGGGCCATCCAACAAAGAAGAGTTTTCAAGTCAGCTCGGCCAACCCGGATGAGTCATATATCACCGTAACGGGCTTGAAACGCGTATTCCAAATCTGCTTTTCGTTTCGCGCAACAACTCTACGAAAGAAGTTATCAGCGTTTGAAAGTCCATATTTGTCAAGTCTTAAGTGGTCTTAAATGCGAAAGCTGTACGATCACGTAAAAGTGGGTTTTCAGTTTTGAATCAAGTACACTGACTACAAGGATGAAACAGCCAGTGGAAGTCCGCTAGGTATTGTTTTAGAGCTTTTCGCTAATTTTATGAGCCACAGACTTCGGTTGAGGAGGAGATTCTTATGAAATAGACTATTGACATTGGTTCCCCTAATCAGAACAATTCATAAAATCAAGCAAGATAATTTTTAGGTACAGTCAATGTCAATTACGCATAGGGCATTCGAAAAATCGTGACGATGGTGCGACCGCGCGCGACACGCACGCACTTCCTTTCCTTGGTTTCTATCTTTACTCGGGTGGTTTTTGTGTTTACATGTGATGGTACCTAGGCACTGGAAGTCGCTGTGCTAAACGTCAAGCATTTCAAGAATGAACCATACTCGCTTTCGCATGGGAACACGCAAGCGCAACGCAAAGGCCCTGCTGCGGACATCCAATCAATGTGACCAATTTGAGCCCGAACCATACGCGCACGAACGTGGCGCGAAGCTCATTGCGCTTACGGAAAGGGGAGCACGTTATTGACACGGACTGTACAAAAACCCCCCATAGCTAAAAGAGTCAAGCAGGTTACCTTGATCACCATTCAATTTTCTCGTCCATCCCGATATATACGCAATTAGCAATAGTATGCCAAGTGGTATAAGAAGCTGTGTGATCAGATGTGGCCAATTTCTGATGGTGTATAACAACCTCTTGGTGAACAGAGCCTCCACCTGGTCACATAAAAGGGCACATCCTTCGTGGCGTTCCACTAAACTCCAAATCATAATGTGCAAGAAAAAAACGAGAAATACTTACCTCTTTGGGCTTGGATCAGTTCTTCACTACGACTTATGGTGGCATCGACAAAATCAATCATAGCGGTTGGATCAGTCTGCTCAGCTACTTTGAGAAATACCTGAATGTTGTGGGAAGTATATGTTGAACTGATGATTATGTCGAAAGATCCATCAATAACGGGTGAATCAAACCTAAAAAATTAGCAAAACGTTACCTGCTCTAAAGTGTTCAACGACAATCCAAAACTGCTAATATGCAGCGCATCTCTGGATTTTTCGAGATACTCAAACAACTCGGGGAAACTAAAAAACTACCAGAGTAACACGAATAACAAAAAAATCTTAGGGCAACCCACTTGTGCTGCTGTTCCTTCGGCAGTATTATCTCAAATTGCTTTCCGTGCACATTCCCCCTTGAGGCACCGCGAACGTACTGCGATGCAATTTCGGTTAATCTTGAAGCCGTGTCCTGTGCATTGGCTTTCTCTTGTATCACGACTGTCATTACGTATCCAGTACCAAACCTGACGCAGAATCAAGGTCGACTTCAATAGTTCATAAAAGTGGATATCGGGCGAAAAAGTAAAAGTATAGACGCGAAGCAGAGAAGAAAAGTATTTCAACTCATTATTATGCGTTGCGCAAGTCATTACATCGAAACCACAATACGTAAATCCTCTTCGAGATCCTCCTCATACAGAGTGATATCCTTCACTCTCACCTCTTCTTGAGAAATTGAGGCGTTCCACAGCAGTACACTCGTCCCTTGGCCATAATGGCCACTCGATCGCCAAGCAATTCAGCTTCGTCCATGTAGTGCGTGGTAAGCAAAACTGTTCTAAATATAAGTAATCGAAAAAGATTTTTTTAGTAAAAAAAAAAGGAAAAAAATGTAATTTGAAGTACAAAACGGGACTAACCGATCAACTTTTATGCTCTCTAACAAGCTCTCCACGTCTCGACGAGCTCCCGGATCCATACCAGCTGTTGGTTCGTCCAGCAACACTACCGGACTGCCACCAATCACTGCCATCGACACGCAAAGCTTACGTTTTTGACCTCCCGACAAATTCATGGCCAACTAAAACATGCGATTCAAACCAGCCCTGGTCACATGAAAGGACTCAATACTTACCGTATCAGACTTCTCGTCAAGCTTCAGCTGACTTAAGAGTTGGTCGGCTTCGGTTTTGTAAGAGCCAGCTGCACCTTTGAGGCCATGGATAAACCATAGATGCTCATCCACGGTTAACCGATCAAAGAGAGCATTCGCTTGGGGACACAAGCCTATTCGTTTTCTGCATGCATTACGCTGTTTGCGGATGTCCAGATCGTAGATGGAAACTGTTCCTGCAAACAAAATAACTTTCATATTGTACACCGCTATTGGCCAAGAGAAAAACAAAAATCAATTCTTGCGCAAAACGAAACCAACATCACACACCTGCAGTTGGAGCAGTTATTCCAGAGATAACAGAAAAAGTAGTGCTCTTCCCAGCCCCATTATGGCCAAGCAAAACAGTAACCTGGGATAAACGAATCAGAGAGATCTCGAGGTAAAAACAAATTATAAAAAGATTTGTTCCAGTTTCTTACCTGCCCAACATACGCATCCATCGACATCTCATCTACAGCTCTTTCTCCTGTAGATGACCAAACCTGAATTGAGAAATTTGCCATACTGTCATACACTCAAGTCAGTTTAATAATTTCCACATACTTTGATCAAACGATTTACAGAAATACCAGCACGAGTCTGCAATAACCCTTCATCAGTTTCATTATTGCCCTCGACATCATCCAAACGCGTTCCCGATGAGCCAAGATACTGAAACATTTTTGAGCTCATAACCTCTGTATTTGCAGACAATAGTTTGGGAAGAACTCACACTACCACCAAAAGGCAGCTTAAACAGCGTGAAATCTTGATCACTCAAGAAGAAATCGAAGAACAATGTTGCCGCACTCATCCACACAATATCAAATAGCAACATGAGTATAGCAGCTCCAACAGTGAAATTAAAAGATCCATCCTCGAAGATATTCCACCATGTCAACACTCTCCCTTGAAACAATCGAATTATTCTTTTGGATATAAAACTCTGGCATGTTTACCTCTATTCATGTAGTCAGCAATGCCCTTCAGAGCATAAGAGAAGGCAGCATTGGGATTTAACGACCAGAGAGTACAGTAGAAGATTTTGTCAACTTTTGGAGCTTTGAGAGGTGCTCCAACGAGTATCACCCATATGATGATGATCACTGAAATAAATAAAAGGTATTCACATACACCACGAAGATAAAAGAGCCAGATGCAAAGAAAGTTTATATGTCAATATCAAACAGAAGAGCAAAAACAACATCAAAATTTTGATTCTCCTAAGTGACAAACGACAACGTATGCATACTCGGATGCTTACCTTTTAAAACCGTATTGGGTGCTCTGAAAATCGATGATATCAGCGCAGAAAAAACCACTGCTGATATTCCATACAGAATGATCACAGAAAGAAAGAGCGCAACGTTCACAGGCTGAAAATAGATACATAAGGAGCAGAATTCAAACATGGCTTGAGAAACGGATTTGGAAAAAGTAGAGTGGAAAAAGTTGAAGTAGCAAGGTGATAATTTCAAAACATCAGCAATTTGAACTGTTATGACTTACTCCTAGCATCGTAGCTATAGGAATTGAGCATACTAGCAAGACGAAGAGGCATTTTACGGAAGCGTAGAGCACATGAGACAAGTAGAACATAGGCGTCGATAAACCCATCACGGACAGAAAATCCTGGAAAAATTTAGAATTTTAGAAGCCTATAGACAATAACCATTCAAGGAAAGGGTTCACAAACCTTGACAGTGCTTCTCTCACTTGCGATCTCCCTGGCAGTGTGGATTACCAACACGAACGCACAAAGACCCCAAACGTAAGAAGCGATAGAGAGGAATGCAGCAATGCTATTCACATTATATGCTGCATCTGGCATACGTCTCAAACGCACATCCCGTGGAGTAATTTCAGTGGATACTCTCTGTAGCAGTCAGAAAATCGAAGACAGCAAAGATTGTTTCGACTTACCTCGATGAATGTGCTGTCAATGGCATACTGCAAGGATAAGAACGCTGACGACCAGTACGGTGGTCTCCCGGGAATTCTGAAAAGTCAGTTCTCCGGCTAAAAAAAAAACCGACTGGCGTATTACGCTTCAAACCAACTTGTTGAAATCATTATCGGCTCCGAATGGATCGCTCCACTCTTGATCAAGCATCCACGGGTCCTCGGTCAAAGGTGTAGGGATCAAAATCCGGTAATCCAGGACATTCTCACTAACATTTATGCGATCGAAAATCACGCCACCTCCGTATCTTGATCGCAAGAACATTCAACTTATACAAAATCACAGACTAAGAACGAAACTCACTTGTGTATGGAACACCCATACAAAGTGCTATTCGGCGCATCTCTACGGAGTTCATCAAGTAAAGTTTCTTCGCTCTCGAACTCCTTCAAGGTTAATTCAAAAACCGTAGTTGAGTAGCGATTCGTAACATTCGTCATGAGCTCTTTAGCATTTCTCCTCGCCGCCTCAGAAGCACTGAAAATAAATAAAAAAGTTGATCAGGCCTTATATGAAATCGCATAAGCATTTGGTCAAAAACATAAGAAAAGAAAACTTGCTAAAAACCACAGCATAAAACTCAGCAAGAAAAGACATTATGGAAAATTTTTCCTACAAAGCTCGATATTGATAAGCTCTTTGATCGCGAATGTGTTTACAGTGTTCTAAAGCCGCATATCGTCATTGGTAGACTCGGGCTGCACAACTTGACATAGGCTTACCGAGCCTAAAATTAGTTCTAAAGTCAGAGTATATCGAAGAACTGAAGACCCACCCCCTTCCCTCTCATCACCCCCAAGAAAACTTCAGTTTCGGAAAGCAAAAAAGCGACTCTACATCAGTGGAAGGGACTAGACATAGTTCTGAGTTCTAGATGTGGAACTGCCTAACAGAACGAAAGTCGATTGTGGTAATCAAAAATTCTTACAAAACTAGTGGATTAAATATAGTATGCAATGTGGAAAAGCTATAACATAAAGTTACAAAATAAAGCGGAAGCAAAATCACTTACTAATAAGCCAGATAGACTTGATTCCGGTTACACCATCGCGTCCTTATGGCTTGAACGAATCCGACCGCACGCGGCACATCAGCGGCTCCACCATCAAGGGGCACAGCATCAAATGATTTACTCGGAGACAATTGTATCGTTCCATTCTGAAAGTCTGCGATACAGGCTGCTTTGCTCAAAAGTAAATCTAAAAGTCCACCTTCACAATTAGGATTATTACGGGAAGAGTGAAGAGTATTGGCAGGATCAGTTCAAATAGCGTCCATATCTTGCTCCGGCCGGTTAATATAAGATTTTTACAAGTTAACAACCATAACTGCCGGAAGCAGTCGCATACCATGTCTTTCGGACGCTCCGAAGACTGTGGAGTAGCTCGGATTCTATATATAGGGATCATTGCATAGGAAACGAAATAAAATAGTACATCAACGCAAAAAGTGCGAAAGCTACATTTTAAAACTGTCGAAAAAAAACCAGTACGAATAGAAACCATATCCGGAACGACAATGACATGATGATTTTCACAACATCGCTTATACGACCCAAGATACGCACCCGAAAACATCATAGGTGAGTGGCGTTCACGACAAAAAAAAAACTCCCAACTTTCAATACCAGTAAGCCAGTATACAGGCTAAGACAAGATAGGGAACTTTTTCTCTAATCCATCAATTTGTAGGTGTTGCTCTCTACTGGTAGGAACTGCTTGAGCATCAAACATCAAGTTCGATCAAGATGACCTATTATTCTATGCTAAAACGACTGTAATCAGTGAAAATAAATATTTGAAATTCTTGTTAAAGAAAACAAAATCTGATTATATACATCTGAATCAAATAATGTTTCCATACTTGTCGATTGAAGCGCGGATGTCAAAAGATTGCAAACATGACAACTAGGTGCATGACTCACTCAGACATCAACAATCGAATGCTTGCAAATTGCAAGAAGTCTGAAGCGCTTTGTTACTAAGCACAGTCGCTGCTAACTGAAATTTTACTCTCTTCTTCAGGGATTATGGCATTATTCTCCATCGAAATTGTAGCTGACGCTGGGGTAGTCACCTGGCAGTCGCGCATAACTGGAATGCGCGTCGGTTTGAGGCTCACATCTTGCTGGAGTATTAGCGCCATCGGGGCTTTGAGATAGCTTACAAGGCAAGGATGCTTGATCGAAGTGCAATCCCCATGCGGGATGTAAACTGTTAGGGCAGAGAATGCTGATATCAAAACAGCTTTCGTTATCTGCAAAGCGCTTCTGGGAGGGGAATTACGAGTATTTTTGAAGCAAACATTCAAGGCTTTGGCTCGAGTAGAAACAAGTGGTACTTAAATAGAGTAATAATTAGAGTAAGTTTGTTAGACTGGAGGTATTAACTGCATGACGCTCCCTGGCAGTAATCATGGTCCCATTTAAGCTGAGAAACTATAGTTCTAAATGATATTGTAGCTGCGGTTGCAATTTTCAGTTCAAGAGATTCCCGTAATTTTTCTCCCAGAAGAGCTTCGCAGATGACGAAAGCAGATTTGGAATTAGCGTTTCACTTTCTATAAGCAGTGTACATTTCCTATGGAAACGCCACTTCGATCAAATATAATTCTCTTGTAAGTCAAAGGGTCCATGAAATAATGACTTTCGATCAAGCTCAAATTTGCCAAAACACTGATCCTAAATTCCAGAAAATGCAATATTCGAGCATATTGTATACGGATGAGATTAAAGGAGCAATAATCAAAGTTTAGAATCCACTCTACTACAGAAGAAAAATCACCAGTCAGAGCAATAAAAGGACAAAATGCTTTCCACACGGACAGATTATAGGCAGTAGGGTATGCACAGCTGTGAACAACCGCATCCTGTAAAACAACAGTGTGAGTCATCACTTTGACGCCGCGCTGGAGGTCGTTCACATCAATCGTTACCTCCGCAATGCAGTTAGAGTCTCACGTAGCTAGATGAGGAAATCCAGAGGATCAACGCTCACACAAGCGTGATTAGGGACAAAAGAAAGGACTGAACTGAATGAAGATGTTGAAGCAAATTTTGACGAACAACCATCAGATAACGTAATAGCGAGAAACTCTAACGGCTGCAGGATAACTGTACCAATTAGAAGGAAAAAGCATAGCTGGAACTGTCTGTTAGCGAAGTACCGGTTCTAAATGTGACAGGATTAGAAGAACTGACAGCATTGGGCTGAGTGAAAAGACTGATTGATAGCAGATGCTGTCAGTTTGTATTCTGAAAAGGTTCGGAAACAACATGAAGCCAAAGAGCTGTTGTTGTATATTCTGCAAAAAAAAATTCCAAGAAAAGGCGTGACAAATGATGCAGAGATGCGAAAAAAGCTAAATTGATATAAATTGATATAATGTGCTTGCGGTGAAACTGCGGAAGAATCTGCGTGCCGGCCACTTGCGCGCGCAAAATGCCGCCGTTACTGGTGGCTCCCTATCCGTATGCCTTTCTCATGTTCGCATGAGAATGGCTTTGAAACTCACCACGCGATGCTGAGCATCACAAATGAATCGTAAGCAACTGTTCATTCATAAAGCATCTCTATGTAAGGTCGAATTTTGAGAAAAAAAAACTTTGTTGCAAGGAAACAAATGCGAATTTAAACGGATTACTGAATTTATTTTGATTTGATGATCGTCATAAGGATAATAGTCACCTTGGGCTACATTTCAGTGCAAAAATCTTTTCAGTTTCTTCAAATAAAACCTTGCCAAATCGACTATATATCTAGCGTTCATCGCTTTTTGGCGCTGTTTTCGCAAAAAAGCAAACATTTTGAGCACTTTTTGGGCTAGAATTCATGGCGCGTAGAGTTACTCGTCAGGCAAATCATAACTTTGCAAAAAGTCGAATTAGCGCTCCAGTTTTGCGTGCCAAAAGGCGCGTGGACCCGTTTTACGCGCAAATTTTGAAGGACCCGCTTATCGAACCGGCTCGTCCTTGTGCATGGTGGGCCTACACGCTGGCACGGTATGTTATGCAAAATTGCAGCCCGATAGCTTAGTTGCAGCTTCCTCTATGAATTTCGTGACAGACAGATTTTCACACAGACACACACACACAAAAAACAGACGGCCTTAGCGCGTTATTATAGTGGATAGCTGTTAAATTGATTATCGGTTGACCATCGCGACCGCCCTCGCAGCAATCGGCGAGCCGATGTGTGTTCTGCCAAAGACATATGAAAATATACTGCACAAACTGATTAGCGTATTGTGCAAGTCATGTGCCGCTTTTCATCGGCTCAAATGTGCAAACGAAGACTCTCGCGCATATCGCAGAATAACGAAGGACGTATGCGCAATGCGATGTTGGTGACATTGGCTTCTACTTCAGTAGCCATGCGCTGATTTACTGCTACTTCTTGGACTAACATGTGGTCGAAGATACTCTACAACTCCTCAGTGAGCCTATTCGGTTTTGTGGAACTTATTGCTTTTCTGCATATGAAAAGGTGAGAGAACGTTTTGAGTGTGTTCGTTCAGCGATTTCGAATTCCTGGCCTCTTGCTGGAATAGCGAATCCGATTCTTTTCGAATGATCCATACATGTAAGCGTCAACATCAGTTGTGGGTCATTGATCCATGGTAAGAATATGCATCAAGACTAATCTTGCAAACTTATAGGTTCAGAAATCTTAAGCTAACATAATTCCATTATGTAGGAATGCTTCACGAATAGATGACGAGGTCAAGAAGTATATAAGAACGCTTGCGTCGCCTACCTCGACATCAAGTTTAGGTCAAATTCCTTTGATTTCCCAACATTAGCCACTCAGAAAACTTAGATTCGAGTAGCTTGTTAGCATCGCCTTTTTGGGTTCATATAGCTCGGGTGGAGGACATTAGGTCGCCGAAAGAGGGCGGTCCCCGCGGTCATTTGCGACAAATACGCACCTTTGTACATGCGCGGACATGCGTTCCTGCAGGGAATCCGCGCGGGACTCTTCCAAATTCGGCGACCTAATGTCCTCCACCCCTATATGGGTGGAGACATTAGGTCGCCGAATTTGGAAGAGTCCCGCGCGGATTCCCTGCAGGAACGCATGTCCGCGCATGTACAAGGGTGCGTATTTGTCGCGAATGATCGTTCCTGCAGGGAATCCGCGCGGGACTCTTCCAAATTCGGCGACCTAATGTCCTCCACCCATATAGCTCTGTTCGCAGCTGAAGAGAAAACGGCTAATGCTCACCTAGAAGAATAACTGATTGTTACAAAATTTACAACTCAGCCGAAACTTTACATGAACTGACACTGCAACAAATGCCCTGCATGACATCGAACTCTACGTTTGTGTGTTTTTCGCACTAAATACACCCTAAAAGATATATCCTTATCGATTCATAAAAGTCGTGTCAGAAGCGTTCGTGAAAAAGCAAAGTATTGCTTGATAAACCTTCAAGGATCTATCTAGCTGGTCGGTATCACTTATGGAACCGTAAAGTATACCAAGCGGATAGCATCAAAACTAGTGTAACTGACTACATCGGTGATTCCCCAAACCTTACACACTCTTCACCAACAGACAAGACAAAATATTCACTAGACCTTACGGTACAACATACGCAAGTATCTATCTATCTCTATCTTATATATAAAGCTGAATGTCTGTTTGTATGTATGTATGTATGTCTGTATGTATGTCTGTATGTATGTCTGTACGTATGTTCCGAATAGAAAATTCCATTTCTGAACCGATCGGGACCAAACTTGGCACACTTACACTTCGGGCCCCGGCGGGTGTCATAGGCTACTTTTCGTATCGATCGATATCGATTTTATCGATTTTTATCGATTTTTTTGCTGAGTTCACCTACGGGGCTGGGAGTTGGCATAGGGGGGTAATCGAGCATGGGGATTCCGAATACAATATTGGTTTTCAGGATTATCGATTACTTTTATCGATTTTATCGATTTTTTTGCAAAGTTTGAGCTACGGGGCTGGGATTTGGCACAGGGGGGTAATCGAGCATGGGGATTCCGAATACAATATTGGTTTTCAGGATTATCGATTACTTCTATCGATTTTATCGATTTTTTTGCAAAGTTTGAGCTACGGGGCTGGGAGTTCGCACAGGGGGGTAATCGAGCATGGGGATTCCGAATACAATATTGGTTTTCAGGATTATCGATTACTTTTATCGATTTTATCGATTTTTTTGCAAAGTTTGAGCTAGGGGGCTGGGAGTTGGCACAGGGGGGTGATCAGCATGCTCGAACACCCCTGTGCCAAATTCCAGCCCCCTAGCTCAAATTTTCAAAAAATCGATAAAATCGATAAAAGTAATGGACGATCCTGAAAACTAATATTGTGTTCGTAATCTGCATGCTCGATTACCCCCCTGTGCAAACTCCCAGCCCCGCAGGTCAAACTTTACAAAAAAAAATCGATAAAATCGATAAAAGTAATGGACGATCCTGAAAACTAATATTGTGTTCGTAATCTGCATGCTCGATTACCCCCCTGTGCAAACTCCCAGCCCCGCAGGTCAAACTTTACAAAAAAAATCGATAAAATCGATAAAAGTAATGGACGATCCTGAAAACTAATGTTGTATTCGGAATCCCCATGCTCACTTGCCCCCTGTGCCAACTCCTAGCCCTGTAGGTGAACTCTGCAAAAAATCGATAAAAATCGGTAAAATCGACATCGATCGATAACGAAAAGTGGACTGTGACACTTGCCGGGGCCCGAAGTGTATGTGTGCCAAGTTTGGTCCGGATACGGCGGAGCCGGGTAAGCCAGCTAGTCTCTAATATATAAAGAATCGTAAGCGCAATTCAAAAATGTGCACATAGCGGGAAACCACGTGGCGGTCCCGTAGCGCGCGCATGCTACTAGCACCTTCAGTTGCTGGTTCACTAGTCTCATTACTTCTGATATGGAAACTTGGTACACCGTCTTAATGGTTTGACCTTATTAGCGAAGGTGAGCTTACTCCCATGACTTTGGAAAGGTTCCTCCTGTTACCAAGAGACTCAACAACAAGAAGCATAGCGTGTGGCTCAAAGTCAGTGAGAGAATAAGTATCCAGTCAATAACCTCTAACGATAAGCAACGAAGCAAAGTCCTCGAAAGATGAGGTATTAGAGATAATCTCGGGAGAACGTTATGGCAGACAGGCAATAAATGTCTTGGCGCTATTCCAGTATACCGACCCCAAAAACTAAAAATCTCGGATTTCGCTCAAACTCGGTATAGGGGGGTTATTCGATGCGCTGATACCAAATATCATATCGATTCCGGGCGATAGCGCCATTTTCCGGGGGTTACGGTGGGTATACTGTAGGGGGTCAAAATCACAAAATTCTCTGAAACTCAGTAAGAGGGGGTTATCCGACATGCTGAACACGAATACGATATTCATTCGTTACGGTAGCTCCTCGTTCCGGGGTTATGGTGGGTATACGGTAAGGGGTCAAAATCACGATATCCGCTGAAACTTCGTGTAGGGGGTTATTTGACATGCTGATCACGATTACGATGTTTATTAGTTACGATAGTGCCTCATTCCGATGTTACGTTGGATATACATTACCAATACCACTGCTAGATCGAGATTCGGGGCTTGAAATCTCAGCCAACGTCGGAAATTTCCTCCCCTGCTTTGCTTAGGCAAAAGCCGCCGCAGGGTGTACCGCGCGCGGCGGTGGGTGTGGAAAGCAGTGAATTAGACCCTCCTACAGTATACCCACCGTAACCCCGGAATGAGGTGCTACCGTAACGAATGGATATCATATTCGTGTTCAGCATGTCAAATAACCCCCCTGCACCAAGTTTCAGAGAATTTTGTGATTTTGACCCCCTACCGTATACCCACCGTAACCCCCGGAAAATGGCGCTATCGCATGGAATCGATATGATATTCGGCATCAGCGGATCGAATAACCCCCTATACCGAGTTTGAGCGAAATCCGAGATTTTTAATTTTTGGGGTCGGTATACTGGAATAGTACCAATGTCTTTATCAATATTACCTTCTTGCCTTTCAACTAACTTCTTGTACGTCATGGAGCGCAAAGTCCTCCTCAGGACTCTGGATCGAGAGTAATCTGATTCAACGTCACAATCATAAGAAGGAATGCGCGCTCCACGCTATACGGGTGCCGCGCGCGAACTGCCCGCGCAGCCAGCCCGGTAGGAATAGATTGCGCCGTTACATAACACGTGTTAAAGGCAGCGTCCGGGCAAAATTGACCTACCTCAGATGCTGTCACATTTCGACAGGGCCCCCCTCAACTAAGGGCCGCATGCACTAACATTTTAGCTGGGGAGGGGATCGCAGCTTCAGAAGAAAGCTTCATATCCTGAAGCTCCGGATATCTGGATTTCACGCTGTCTACCTGTCCGTAAGTACTCCCACCATCCTTCACTACGAACATATTGAGCAGAAGCGAGAAGCTGTACAAGCCGCATTTCCCAGCTTTTTGTAGGATCCCCTGATGATCCCTGGGGGACGAACATCTATTCTTCAAAGTCATTTTTCTTTCTCCGAAGTTAACGAAAACCTTCCAAAATTATACTGAACATCTAACACAACAGTGCTAAGCATGTTGGTGATGAGAACAAATGAATTTTTGAAAAATCGAATTTTTCGGTATACCCCAAATCTCGACCCGTGGATCATCGAAAATTTCATGACTTCAAAACATTATTTGTTCTTATCAGCAACATGCTTAGCACTGTTGGGTTAGATAATATGCACAACTTTGGAAGTTTTTCGTTAACTTCGGAGAAAGAAAAATGACTTTAAAGAAAAGCGCCGGGGATCATTAGGGATCATACAAAAGCTGGAAAATGCGATTTGTACAGGTTCTCGCTCCTGTTCAACATGTTCATAGTGAAGGATAGTAGGAATACTTACGGATAGGTACTCAACGTGAAATCCAAGTATCTGGAGTTTTCAAATATGAAGCTTTCTTTTGAGCTGCGATCCCCTCCCCGCGGCCATGTTAGTGCATGCGGCCCTAAGACAAAACAGCAAGTCCGCCCCGAAAATGTGAATTCTGAAAGTCAGGTGGGCGGGTCAAGTGCCGCTCCCCTTCCTCCTTCCGCTCCCCTTACGCCTACGAAGACGAGCTTACATGTTTGACGCGTCCCTTTGACGTGTCGTTACACGCAGTGTTTCTACCTTTGACACATGTTTTCACGTGTCACTACACCAGATAAATTTCGGAACACTCGTCCGCGATTATTGAAATAGGGTTCCAGAAACGGGGGTTTTGGAGATTTCAAGCAATTCTCGGTTCGGATTTAGATTCAGGGGCGTCGAAAAAGCAAGAAACGCTAGAAACATGGAAGTCGAGGTTTTGCCCGGACGCTGCCTTTAACATGTGCTGTACAGCTGTACAACATAACATGTGCTGTGCAGCTGTCATTCGAAAAGACGAACTTTAATCGCCGACCATATGTAAAATAAGATGTATTAGCGGTGGGACCACAAGTCTTTTGACCTTCACTTTGAAATTAGCTTCAACTATGTGAAAATATGGCTAAAATCAAAGTTGACTGCAAGTCGCTAAAGCATGCTATAGGAAACAAAAAAAAGCATCACGTTTTAGCGCAAGATGCTGCAAGCACGCACAAAGTGAAAGTTGAAGAAGATTGTGTCGCAGAATTGACGCAAAATGGGTATAGCTCATCGCACAAAGTTTTCGTAAACTCAAGTGCAACATTTCATCATCGCCTGCATTCGCATGCTCAGAGGGGTATAGTACAAAAAAGATGCCATAGTAACAATGTCGACAAATGAACAAAAGAATATTATTGCAGAGTGACTGCTCAGCATTAGTATTAAGTGCTGCGATCCAGCATCATCAAGGCGCATATTATGGAGTCGGAGATCAAATGCAAAGCACTAGGACTGAAACCAACTGAAACCGGGGAGAGAAAAGATGGAAAGCCAACAAAAAGAAAATAAAAAGAAATTGGTGAAGATAGAACGGATCAAATCTCAGTGAATCAAAAAGCGGTACACAAATGATCAGGCCAAAGATTGAATGAAATTCGAAATTCGTGGGATATGATGAATAAATGTGAACCACATAGGTTGGATATATGCATAAGATAGTGATATGCACAAAATCCGACAAGATGTAAAAAAAGGGTGCATCAAAGCCCGGTTCGCCTTTTGACTAGCAATAAGTTGAACGCCCGATGATTGAACATTTGAGACGAAAGGTGAAGAAAAAAAACCATGATTCAAAAAAATAAGCAAAGAACAGAAAAGCCAAGCACTTCGAAGTTTCTTCATTTCACGGCGCAAGCCCCACTAGAATGATCATATCTGCAATTTGGAAAAGAAGCACAAATTTCATTTCCACGTTGAAGCGACACAGACAGAACAAGTGTGATTGTATAGAGTTTTGCACCACTAAAACTGCTAGTTGATAAATGGGACGCATCGATAGGAGGTAGGGCCAAACAACAAGTTCTGTAGGTGCGAAAAGGAAAATTCATTTTTTGCCAAGTACATTCGCCATCAGCAAAACAGAGATGGCAATTTAACAGCTTAATAGAAATGTGATGAAAATTGAAAAATTGGAATCTACCTTATTTAAGTTGATAAGCTCAAGATGTTTATCATCAAATTATAGAGAGCCACAATGCACGGTATTTGTCCACTGTAAAAAATTTTCGTGTAACAAGAACAATACTGTGCTCTTTGACAAGTGCATGAGTTTGAAAAAGTCGCCATTTTTATTCGTTTCTTGCCAAATTACTTGCAGATGATTCACAATGTGATATGCAAGAGCAAAAATAAAAGTTAATAGCCAGAGTACTTTGCTGCTTCATATAGCAAAATGGATGCGCAGACAAGCAACTTGTCAATTTGAGTACAATTGAGTAAACTTCCCGCTTAAGATAGTGTGCTTGACGCCGAGAAATGCGATAAAATTTGGGCGTAGTAAGTTGCCATGCCACAGGCATAGCTATCTGTTCACGCGCGGGTTTTAACGCATTTTCTTGGCATCGCAAGCACACTTTATCGAACATAAAATCTAGATGTAGATGTCTGACTTAGCCATAGAAAAGATTGTTAGTACACCATGCATAATGCACTGTTATGTTACATGAAGGATTCTCACCCTCTTCAAAATACAAGCGGTATCTATCCACTGTGTTGCAGTACACCCGAGAAAATGCCAATAATTTATTGAACAAATATGATAAATGTGTGATTGCGAATAACAACAGATAATTCAGATGTTTTTTTGGAGCTGTATAGTGAATCCAAGATGCATCGCAACTAGATAATGTTCTTTTATCACTAACCATTTTGAGACATGCACAATGTACGAACAACGGAGAGAAATCGATCACATGAAACTGGTAAATTTACATCAGAGAGACAAAAACTCGCTCCATGGAGAAAACTTCAATAACTATTGAGGGATGGAGTGTACTCTTCGTGTCATCAGGAGTGATGGGGTCTGATGCGGCTCGTATTCCGCAGGACAGCCTCGCCTAGGCTCTACATTCTCTCTGAGCGTGCTCTCTGGTCATTTTCCCATCTTGACCCGAAAAAGGCCGAGCTTCAATCACTAATTAAGCGTAGGAATATAGGAGAGCACGCTCACGTAAGAAATGCAGAGACCAAGCGAGGCAGCAGCGCGGAACCCAAGCCGCACGAGCCTCTCTCACTCCTGATGATACAGAGGGTATTAAACGTAGCACACTCAACCTGATTACAGCATAAACACAAGAGCACCATGCACACTGCCACGTTCATGTGCTCTTTCCTCCACATTCTCAAACCTAAATACGAGGAAACGGGACGTGTAGATGAACACACGCGAGCCGCTGGTCACAGAACAATGACACGCTACATATGAAACGCATCTACATGAAAGGACCAGGTGCTCCAGGATGTGGCGGTTGTGGGACGTATTGGGGCTGAACATATGGGTTCGGCGGTGCATAGCCCATCGGCGGCATTGCGGCGCCACCGTACGTCAACATCAACTGCGGCTCCACTGAAATACCGTTTCGTGAAGTCGAAGTAAAATGTAGAAAAGCAAACAACAAAAATCAATGGACGGGAGAAAAAAGCTGGTAGACTAGCGAGACTAGGTTTTAGCGAGACTAGGTTTCGATCAGAGAACGATTTGAAGCCGCTTCTTACTAACTTACCTACAAAAAAAATTTTCTACCCTTATCACATTTCATTTCTTTTCTCAAAATAACCTTGGGTCGCCTTTATTTGGCAAAACGAGGACGTATTATCAGGAAGCCGAGATTGTTTTTTGGTCACGCAACATACAGGTGTCCAACAAAATGTGCCTAGTGTTTGATTTTTGATAACCGCTGTCATGACTTTCAAGAAGCTTTAGATACCATTTTGTAGAGCTGGCTCTAACCTTAATGAAAAACCCCGATGAAAGCCACATTTACCCTTAAAGAAGGACAAGAGAAGCTGAAAACTCCTACACTAGATTGCGTCAATGATTTCAAATATAAAACTCCCACTTCACCGTAGCGCTTTTATCATAACTGATGCCAGATATACCTTGAAATCGATTTCTGACAACCGTCAAAAATTTGCTTAAGCCATTTAAAGAGCTCTGTGAAGGCGCAACAAGTTATTCAGTAAATTCAGCATGTAAGAAAACCTAACTGAAAACTTAATACACAGTTTTTCAGATTTTTTGGGCAATTTCTCGTACGGCCTATCTCGCACTAGCGCAATATGCTGAGAGTTCCTACCACAATCTTATAAAGAGAGAACGGTAACGCGCTCATACTGCAAATCTAAGTAAAAGCTAGCTCTACAAAATGGTACTACCTAAAGCTTCTCGACAGATTTTATGACAAGGAAATTATTAACGATCAAACAGTAGGCACATTTTTTGCGACACTCTGTACAGTTGAAGAGACTGTTTGAGAAATTTGCTTGCATCTTATACTCAATTATCTACTCCTTGTTCCATGAAAATGTAAGTACTTGGACAATGGAAAGCCTAGCAAAGCAAGTCTATGTCGCACAAGCAGAGCAAACAAGTTGAGCAAACACTAACTGGTCATTCCGTTCTGTTGTTGTTGTTCCCGTTGCTCGTCTTTCCTTTCGGCTTCAGCATGTTCGAGGCGTTCCAACTGAAAAAGTAGAGTAGTGACCACAAAGGGAGCCAAGCGCAAATAACTTACGCGGATCTGGAAGTCTCGGAACACTTGAACCATGTAGGGCATAGCGTAGTCGGTGATCTTGTTCTTCCATGCCAATTCGAGGATCACATGCGGGTGAAGAAGATCGTAGCAATGGTACAGGGCAGCAGCAAAGCATTCATATAAGCGCTCCTCCAAAAAGAATGCAATCAACTCCTCCGCTAATTCACTGCTTCTCGACTCAGCGGCATATTCCATGGCATCCTTGAAACAGTCTTTTTCGGTAAGGTTTCAACATGGACACCGAGATATGTGAATGCAGACCTTATAAAGCTTATCCTTCTTGCACAACTCGATAGACTGCTTCCATCGGTTGTTACCCTTGAACAGATAAGCAGAGATTCGTCGGAACTCAACTAGCGGATGATTCTCCAACTGTTGAGCTAATGCAATGTTATCGAAATTATCATGCGAATCGATCGATGCTCGCAAGCCAGCATGATCCTCCTGTGAAAATAAACATCAGCAATGCAGACTATAAATCAAGCAAAAGCAACAGAAGACAACTGACCTCATCGATGAGGAGCTGGTTAAGTGCTTCATTGATGGCTTTGTTGTTGAGATTCTGCACTTGTTTCAGGTATGGCTTGATCAGCGGAATATGCTTCACTAAAGGCTAACGACGAATAAGATCATAAAAATTTTGGAGAAACTATTTGTGTGAAATTTTTTGATGAGCAATTTGCAGCAGACCAGAGAACACGACGAAATGAAATCATGCAATATGATTCATCATCATCATCAGCATAACAGCTCAATGTTTACCTCCCTGCCTAACACTATTTGCACAAGCCTCGTCAGATGATTTGCGAGAGAAAAAAGCACCCACGTTTCGAGAAGAACTGCACTGTTCGCGAGTGGTCAAGACGGGGCGAAAGGACGGCTAGCAAGTCGTTGATGAGGAGAGGCTTATAATCCAAATAGAACTGCATGGCCTTGTAGTACAACTCCACATTTGCAACCTAAAAAGAGATTTAGCCAAAAGAAAGAAGAAAGAAACATGTCGGAAACGCTGAAAACAATTTGGGATACAAAACATTTCGCATACCTTAGCAATGACTTCCTTAAAATGTTGCTCCCTCCATGATTCCGTGGGATGCTGCATCATTGTCAAAGCAGCATTATCGTACTCTTCATATTTATCATATAAGAACACCAATTCAGCCCAAAGATGAGCTTGTTCGGCTGCTCGCAAGACTTTCGGGATATTAACTCGACTCCAGAAGAGCTCGAGATGCTCGCGCATCTTCTCCGGTTTGTACTTACTGTACAGAATAGCCAATTCGGTAAACATCCCCATATGGGCACGTTCCAATCCCAATGCGGCTTCCAAGAGACCTTAAGCACGAACGGTATAAAAGAGCTCGATAACACCAACCTGAGTTAAAAGACATTCAAAATACTTACTAATGAGCTCTTCGAAGTGTCCGCGTTCTTGGTAGAAATTATTGAGTTCCTCAAGCTCATCTGCATGGACCACGATGTGCAGACCACAAATTTGAGCCAAACGGAACTCGCCATTCTCAACGCAAGCGAAGCAGACCTGAACAGTAAGAGTGTGGATATTGCGTGACACTGTGATTCCAGATAGCTGAATGCAATGTACTTGTCCCCATAATGGAGGTACAGCTCAACCCAGTACAGCTCAAATCCAAGGAGATGCTTGCTAGTAGAGATTTTTTGGCTTACATACATCACTATAGATATCCAATAACTTCACAAATAATGTTTGCTCAGTTTTGATTCCTCCTTCCCCCTTAGGGACCCATTGCACGCTATGTCAATAAAGAATAACGACCCCTCTATTCAGTCGAAACCTTCATGCTAAGTCGCTCACCAAACCTTCCAAGTTTTGAGCAAAAGTAAGGCGTACCTGTTCATGAAAAGAAAGCAAAGAAAGCAGAAAACAATGAGCTTTGATAGAGACAAACTGAGTCTGAATCATGTAGTGACTAACCTGCTTCCATGTCTTGGTGCTATTGGCCTTCCTTGCAGCATCAACTGCACCCTGGTACTCTCCAAGTTTGACTAAGGTTACAGATAGTTTCGCGAAATTGGAAATGTTATTGAACAAGATTTTCGCTGCTTCAAACATGCCATTATCGAAACAGCGGTCACCGATCTGGAAGAAATTGAATCCTAAAAAAGCAAGCTTTCAGTTGCCCTTTTACCTGTCCAATTTGGGCATGGTTTGGTCCCGAAATGAATTCTTCCAATTCGGTGAGACGACCCGTTTTAGCCAAAGCGTAAACCAGTTCGGTTTCAATATAGGACTCGCGAGACTTCTTACGAGCCATTTGCAAGAAACGAACCAGATCCTCCCAATGCTCTGAACAAACATGCAATGACAGCGTTCGCAAACGAAAGTGGAGAAATGGTACAGCAAATTCTAACCAGTTTGAGAGCACTTGCTAACCACTTCCATGTATGCCCCTGGGTCGTCAGCCTTGATGAAGGAGTCTACGGCCTCTTTGACCATATCCTGCTTGAGCTGAGCTTTAGCTAGACTAGCCCACACATCAGACTGGTTGCATTTTTCGGCAAATTCATAAGCACGATCCAGATTGGCTACATTATCGATAAGGACCTAAACAGTTAATCGATTTTTTTTATCATAAAATATGGATAACCCGTCTTAGGAACAGACATTGATGGCGCTGTTGTTGACATCGAACTTTTTGAAGATGGCGAAAGCTTCCTCGTACAGCTCGCTGGAGATTGCAATGTTTGCAATATCAGGCGCATCATAGTTGTCCAGTTTTTGGATGTATTCCATTACACGCGAACGGTCAGCCTATCAATTAGTGTGTTCTGCACATAAGCAAAGATAACTTATTGCGGTACACTCACCCTCATAGCAGTCAAAATAAGCAGATTCTGCAAATTACGATGTTCTGAGAACGCAGAGTTGTCCAAAACAATCTTCTCCAGCAACTCAATGAGCTCATTGGGTAAATCGGCTGCCATGAATGCCTTCACGGTCGCTGATATGTCTTCGGGGTCTTGGGTTTCAGACAGAGCAGTTTGTACAACCTTGAACAAAATCATTCATCAAATCTACTCAAGAGCTTTGTAGTACCCGACACTGCCCATTACCTGGTCGATCAACTGCCTCCTATACTGATTCTCCTCATTCAATACTTGCTCCCAAAGTCCGTAATCACGTCTTCGCACCAGATACCGAGCAAGATTTTTGAAGAGCGAGTTTTCGTTGCAAACAGCAATCAGCTCTGCATCGCACTGTCCTCGCTCATAAGCAAGGAAGGCAAAGTGGGGATCGCGCTTTTCACAGTATCTAAAAGCAACGGCTTAGATAAGCGAAACGACTTCCAACATAAGTGATTACTCACTTTCCAACTACTCGGCTGTCATAGTATGGGTTTTCCCTAAGGAATCTATCTGGATTGTTGTTTGAATCAATGTAGATCTTGGCCATAGCATTGTGGGTGGCTGCATCCGTAGCTCCTTCCTGCACACGAGTCTCAAGCCAGTGTGACAACAACTTCAGCCTAAAATATGAGGTGAACATATAATTATGTTTACGTGAAAATGACCCACCTATTCCTCTTCTCCACCTCAGCTACAAGCTCATCAATGTCGAACTTTCCACGAGTATTCAAAATTAATTGCTTGATAGCATCCTCAGAGCAATCGACATCGAGCAATCCACCTACCACAATAGGCAGACGGGCAGCATTAACCTAAAAACCGTACAAGTAGGCTAAAATAACTTGAAAAGCAAACAAATGAGGACATGTGAGCAAGAGTCACCTTTTGTACGAACACCTCAATGTATTTCTGGAGCTGATTTCTGTACAGGTACAATACAAGGTCGTGAACCATGTCATGACGATCGCATACGATGATGAGAGGCAGCTAAAGATAAGAAATGATGGTATGCTGCGAAAGAAAAGAGGAGAGCAACCCTACCTGATCAGCAAGCTTAGCCTCTTTCAGGAAGTTCTTTACACGCTCTGCATCATAGCAGTTCGATTCACGGCAGATGCGTTCTACTTCCTTGATTTGTCCCGTACGAGTTGCTGCCTAAGATGGTGGGAAACTAAGCAAAAACGTACAGAAAAAACTGAATATTAGATTTAAGGGCCCGATGAAAATGCTCCTCAACAAACTGCTCACCTGTATATACTTGAAGTGAACTTCAGGATCCTGACTGAAATTGACGATTGATCCCAGGAAGTAAAACAAGCCCTCATAACTTTTGTGCGTTTCAAACATATCAATTAGCTTATCGGTACCCAGCTGTTCGTGGTATTTCGAAGCAATTTGCACGACAACCTGGAGAATTCTCGCAGTATGAAAAAAGCATGATAAATGGCTTTTGGCATCAAACCTGCAGATTCTGACGTATGTTTTGGGTGAGCATCGCCTTCAGGCATTCAAGTGAGTCGTCGACAGATAGCGAACCAAAATAGTTGACCAACCACTAGAAGAAAAAAAATAAAGTAAATCGCAATGAATACGTCATGCAACACTTACATCTGGCTTGAAGTGAGTAGTATGCACCACAGTGCGTTTGATATCATATAAATCCGTGAAGTGTTCAAGAGCACGTTGCAGAAGTCCTGCTTTTTCGCAAAGCTGTCCAATTTGTGGTCGATCGTAGTGACTGAACATTTTGTTGCCAAGGATTGCATCGGCAACCTAAATAAATCATCAATGCGGGTGCGAATTGCAGCAAATTTGGAACTTACCTGTGGAGCAGCGAGCAGATTCATTTCAAGCAGTCTCGTTTGCAAATGGCCTTCTTCTGGTTTATCACCTTTCAGCACCTCAAGCAAGAAGGACGTGCATGGCTGAACGGCCTGCACTTCCATGAAGCAGTCGATAATCTGAACTTTGACGAGATGGTTTGGAAAACTGATGTGAACAACCTATCAACGAAGAGTGAACAAAATTATAAAAGATCACCCACCTGGTTCAGATCCGCAAGCGGTTCACCATTCTCGCTCTCAGCGACTAGCATTTGAGCGAATTTAGCACCAGCTTCCTGATTTCCGGAACGAAGTATCTGGAAGAGATTATAAATCAGTGGGAAAATATGACAGAACTTTTCTCAGCGACCAGTTCGCAATAATTTCAAAAAAAAAAGCTGGAGAAAAGCTAACCTGTCTCAGCTGGAATAGATAATCGGGCTCAAATCCGACTCGCTTGGCATAAAGGATGATTTTGTCGAACTGACCAGTCTCTGCGAAGCATTGCACCACCTGGATTACTCGCAGTTCAAACAGTAAAGATTGCGTACAAGAAAACAGGCTACCTTATGTGGGACATTTCCTCTGAGATAAATTGACAAGGCAACAGTTGGATCATGTGGACGAACAAGGTCTCCTAGTTCTTCACAGCATTCCAATTTCTGGTCATTGAGCCTAAACTGGCATTTTTCAGATGGCTAATCAGACGAGATCAAAGTTTTATCAACTGTGGAATTGATAGTAATCACTTTCTCTAGGTCACTTTCTCTCATTTTGACCAATCACCCTATGCAAAAAAGATGGAACCTTGACTCACCATTTATTTAACAACTCCTTTCGACCCTGAGCCAGCACCGGTCGGCACAACTCAAGTGTCTCGTACTTGTTTAGCTTCCCCTAAACATAACTTGCTAAAAAGTATGCAGAGATTGAATCAAATCTGCCAAAACCCACTTGATCAAGCAGAATGCCAAAGTATTGCAGCAAAGGAGAAGCACCACCGCCAGGATTGGCAGGGCATTGCTGAAACTTCTGAATAGTCTGCGGCGTTCTCAGGATACCCTGCAAATCACAAGCACATTTAGTGTGAATACTTCAGATCACTCAAAATTTCACCTGTGGTGCCGTAGCAGCAACCTTAGCCGCCTCACCATATTGGCCATTTCCGAAAAGCAGATTGAACTTGCGAACAAACAGCTCCTCAGCTCCTGTAGAAAATGAATGTTGAGGTCTAGCGGAAAAGACCAGCATCCAAAATCGAAAAATACCAACCAGGTAAGTCGCACCGCACTGCAAGCCTGAGAGCAAGATCGGGATTTTGCAATTGCTGCGTAACAAATGGAATCATATTGTTCTCGTCGATAGATACGGAAAGCACCTATAAATTAACACTCGGTGAAAAAAATAGTACAAAGAAAGATATCCAAAAACCTACTTGTCCTTTTCTATTGATACCCATAATTCCACCAGTGGCATGGTATTCACAAGTGACAAAGACAGTGTCAGTGGAGATACGGTTTGAATAAATACGTGAACCCGATTCCATATCGTACAGATGAACAAGGCCATGCTTTGTGACCAAAAAGATAATGCCATGCTTGGAGGAAGTCTAGAATAATAACACATTCATAAGTGTGGGAATTTGTATTAGTTTACAAAAGAGTTTCCTTAATCATATCATACCGAACTAATCTCGTCGCTTATCTGATCACACTCTTTTTATCAAAAACATTGGCAAATACCTTGTCGTATGTTAAGTGTATATGCAATTGGATTCTTCTCTAAATCTACCCTGTTAATTAACAATACGCACGCATACATCTATTTAGGCTTGCTGGTGCACCGCATAAAAGCACTATGTTTACGATGGGTATCCAGTTTCTTTGACTAGCGCGATAAACGCTAAACCCCGCCAACTGGCGACCATCGCTATCAATAGCCAATCTACCTGCGACATATCAAAAAAGTCATCAAGAAGCCAATTCCTATTCACACGTCTCACAAATCAGCTGCATTGACAACATGTTCGCAAACCCTCACATAACGAGAGACTATCGATTGCCTTCGCGCCCTTTGACGTTTCACGAATTTTGATGAGATGACACATCTTACAGTAAAAAAAGAGATACCACAATCTGCTTCTGCAACATTGTCAGTGACTCATTTAGTGTAAAAATGAAAAAGAAAGAGAAAGGGAAGGCACGATGAAGTGTGTCAGCGAATATTCTCCACTTCCTTGCTACGTTGAGATGAGATCGGCGATTAGTTCCACAAGAAACAACAGCGGGACTTTGCAGCAAAAAAGGGCTTTTGTCTTACAATATAAGTTTGCAATCCATTTACAAGAAGCGAAGGCGATTAAACGCAAAATTAGCATCTGAGAAACGAAGCCAGAGTCAGAAATAATGAATAGGGCAGATGATCCAAGCTTATTTCGTTTTGTTTTAAAATAAAAAGAAAGTGGAAAAGATTTTCAGCAATGAAAGATATGAACAGGAAGATGTAATGTCACACTATAACCGCAGACTAATCACAAAACACCAAACACACCTGCATTGATACAGGGAAATCATTTGCAGTTTCAGCAGTGTATGGCACATCAACGGCTTTCTTGGGGAAAGGCTGATTCCCTGCTGGAGGTGATCCCACTTCAATAACGTGAAGCTGAAACAAAGAAATTTTCAGCGATGAGAGGAAGTTCTCATCCATAGAGGATTCATAGGCTGCTGCATGACGAAGACGCAATACCTTCGAGCGCGAAAGCGGCTTTATTACCTGCGAGGCGCATAAGGCCCAGTATCTACAACGGTGAAGATACGCGCGCGTGGCGTTCGCGCCCGCTCAAGTAATACTGCTCCTGCGCCTTCGTCCTGCAGCAGCCTCTACATGTATAGAGGATATAGGGGATTTTTATATATAGAGTATAGTTGTAACGAACAAAAATTTTCGCCGAATGAACGAATATCGAATAATCAATTTTTAAAATTTTTTCGAACGAATGAATATCGAATAATTGATTTTCGAAAATTTTTCGAACGAATGAATATCGAATATTTGATTTTTGAAAATTCTTCGAATGAACGAATATTATTCGACTTTCAATTTACAATTTATTCGAATTTGAATATTCGAATATTGGCACATTCCAAAATTCGAATGAACGAATACTTGAATAACCGAACTTGATCGAATATTCGACTAATTTCGAATAAATGTTCGAATATTATTCGAATATTTGAGTGCAATATTCGAATATTCGAATATTCGAATAACTATCTTTTAAAACTACTCGAATGAACGAATATTCGAATAACCTTTATTTAAAACTCGTCGAATGAACGAATATTCGAATAAGTCATTTTTCGAAATAGTCGAATGAACGAATTATTCGAATATAGGCCTGTCTCATTTATTCGACTATTCGAATAATCGAATAAATGGACTTTCTCAAATATTCGACTATTCGAATATTCGAATAGTCGAATATTTCGAATAAATTATTCGAACACGAATATTCGGTGCTAACTATAATATAGAGGATTTCAACCCCATATTTCCTCTGTCCAAAATTCCACTAGCCTACCTTGCCGCCAGCCTCATTCTTCACAGAAAAGCAGAACAAGTTCGATGGATGTGGGTTGCCATCCATTTTGAAGCGCACAAATGAGGCCGCATGTCCTTCTATTGGCTGTGATACTTTACGTTCGGTGCTGTAAAGCTGCATGCTTCCAACAACACGATTTTCCTAAAAAATACATACTTTTTATGAGGAAACTGGAGGTGCGTACGCTACGATATGATGTTTCTAGTAACTACAGACCCCATTTACCTTGGCCGCAATTCCTACCAATACGAGCCATTTGCAATCTGCATCTGCGCGATAGTTGATGATTTGACTACCCGCTAGTGACTGGTGTCTATCAAACATTTTTAAGGGGGCTGCATCGCCTACAAAAAGAAAATCTTAGTACAAGGCATGAGAATCTATAAATCAGACCAACATAAACAAAACTGTACCTTCGATAGACCAGTGATATACAGCTGTTTCACTGACCAACGCAATAGTTTTTTCATTGATCCACTTCCAGAAAATGATGTCCTCAGCATTTTGATGCGCCTTCACCTTGGCTTTTAATTCGATATTGAAGATTTGAAGTGTTTTACCCGCTAAAAAAGCAATGGAAAATCAATAGATAACAATAACAGCGAGTACTATGCCCATTTTCGTTATACAACGAACACACTTTGTAATTCACTAAGCACCACTATGACTATGATGGTTAATAAGGGCAACTTCCATTTTATGTCCCCATTACGTCACATTTTTTTCTCAACTGCGTAATGCACCTTGAGTGCAACCTTAATTCAGTTTTACTAACCAATTTCGCAAAATTTACTTCCGGAATGAGTCACCAAACGGATGGATGACTAAGAAAATGGTTGCACAGTCGGACGCAAGATTCTCAGTCGTGCGCGGACCGGTTCTGTAACGATTTACAAAAAATGATAGTTTTCGAGTGGCGGCATCCCACTAGCAACTCAAGATTTAGAAATTTTCCTTCGGCATTGCATCAGAGAAGTTGCGAAAACAACAGTAAATTAATTATGAACAAATGGTGCGCACTTGCATAAGCACATAATCTGAAAATGAAAAAAGGAAAAAACAGCGCTTTTTAGTTCAGTCAAGCCGATCGTGATTCGAAATACAATTAGTGAGCTTCAACTTTCTCCATTCTTGTAAAACTATACACGATTTATGACACGCAAAGACCGGTCGCCGTTGCGTCCAGCCAAGAGCCAAGACGTCCAGCCGTTCATGCATGGGAGAGACAGCAGATGACAAGAGAAACGAAAGAGCGCTCTCATGAGAGAGACGCCGATACGTCCGCAGTCTTTGCGTGCTATGAATCACCTATACCTGGCTTTTCAAGTTTCAAAAATTACAAATACATTCCAAATATGAAGCTTCACATGTGACACTGAGTTGTTCAACGACCAATCACGCACTTAACTCCTCCCCCCCCCCCCAACCCCTCCCCTTAAAGAATATTTGAGGGGAACCCAAACATTTGTCCTATAAATGTGCTCAATCTAGATATCAGCAGTTATCAGTCATTCCCAGACAACGCGTAATCACTTCCGGCCAAGGCTCAGCACGCTGGCACCGAGTCAAGCTGGATATCGTTTTCGGAACAAAAAGCAAAGGAGATATCGTTTTGTGGCCGAAAAGACACAAACATTGCGGCCTTTTTCTAGTCGACGTTCCTTTTTTGGGATTTTTACGTTTAGTGCTTAGGGTCAAAGGGGACTCGTCGAATTTTTCAAATCAAAGGGACTTTGTTTTCAAATTTCCCGCTAGCTTGTGCCAAGCCCTGCTTCCCTTACTACAATACCCTTTATACGTCGAAGCCTAACAGCCGCAGGTAATAAAGTAACGAGGCAATGTTCATAGCATTTGAGTCATCAAGAAAAAGACACTTCATCCTCTTTCCGTAAACTCTTGCGAAGCTAGTCAGTTATATGATTAACATTTTTCACATAGACCAACACTCCAAACAATTCTGAAAGAGAAAGTATGAAATAAGAAGCGGTTCATTAAATTTTTGATGTGATAACAAAGTCAAGGCCAATTCCTACCTGATCCAACTGCTGTGCGGAACGGAACGAGTGAGGGGATTTGATTTTTTACCACCCATCTATGACATTTGAATGAGAATTTACGTAAAAACTTAGATTATTAAATTAAAATATCTTCAAATAATTAAGGGATAAAGGATTCGACGTCTTAGTACCCTCTGCGGGCATGCGCCGAACGCACACTACTCCATAGTCGAAGAGGCAACTGTATGCGTGCGAGCCTATCACAGTGACTTGCGGGGGCCAGCCGTTTATCTAGTCAGTGCTTTTATCCTCCCAAATTACTCTGGTACCAATCTACCGGACCCGGAGGGTAGAGGGCTCGGTTGGCCCAGGGGCGGGGATCGAACCTGTGTCCGACCTGGTCATAGCGGCGCCTCATACACTACACCACTCGTCCTCTTGAAATATATTGATATATGATATTATTGAATTTCAAGACACACCCCTCAATCAAAAAATCATCAAATCTCCATCTCTGAAGTAAAAGCAAATCCACTTTCAAAAGACTCCAAGTACGCCAATACTTTTCCGTGGAAAGAGTGGAACTTTGATTTACATTTCAAAGCGATGATCTTCGCTGTGGGATGCATAATGACTGAGTCTGCCGAGATTGGTCGCCTTTGTGGATTGGCTGGATCGGCGAGATCGATAATTACCACTTGTTGAGAGTCTCCGATCTGAAGGGAAGAAATGACAGTAATGACCATAATTTCTCTTGCAACAATAGAAGTAACCTAGAAAAACTCACCATTTCACGAACAACGATGAACTTGTCCGATTCCATCGTGACATTTGCAAAGCAGATGTTTTGTGGGCGTATGCCCACATTAGTAAGCTAGAAACAAATTTATTCTGAGTAGCACACTTTGAAAAAGAATTTTTCTAGAAAGTCAATCAAATTTACCTGAAGATGCTCATGAAAACGAATAGGAAGCAACGCCATTATTCACCTCTCTGGTGTATAAATATGGTAATAGAGGGAGAAGAGGCTCTATCAAAGTTACAATTCTGAAAAAGAAACAAGTGTGAAGTCTACTTTCTGCCACGTGTCACTTCTAGAAAGCGATACATAAGCGAAGCGGGATGTGATGCATATGAGTCATACAATCGCTAATAAATAGAAAGAAAAAGGAAGAGTAAAGAAATGACCTTCAAGATGACAGATTCATTGAGCTGGTTTCCTCTCACAGAAAATAATGGAGTTAAGTCACTTCATGACACAGCTTGGAAAGCTTGGAATGGATAAGATTTGAGCGATGGGGTACAGTGCCATTCCAGTTTAGTGATATAAAATTCGTACAAAAATAATATACTGGAGAGATTGAGTTATAATGCGATTAAAATATCATGAACGCTATAACTGTCGACAACTTAATGTTGACAAGAGTCATATCGGGGAGAAATACGTACGCATTGATAGAAAAAAAACTGAAGATATCTCAGTAAGCTCCAAACAGAGGCAAGGGGGCGAAATCCATAATTACCAAGGTAATCACTCGACTACATGCAAGATAAATAAGCATCAACATACGATATGTTTAGCCGATGGACAGTAAGAGCACATTCAGTCAAGAAATCGACACAAACCACAATACTGCAGTTGCATGTGATAGATAGCAAAAGTAAACCCTCTGCAAGATCTACGACTGCGTGAGCTTGGAAATACAGATTCGATCAGTGAAATTGTTGACAAAATGCTCACAAACACGTCGACGAACCTCAACAATAACAAGGACCACCTGTCCACCTGGTCAACGCTCCGTCCAGTCGAGCCAACTGGTCGCTGTTCGTCATCGGCAGCCGCGCATCCGCGCCGCAGCGGCCACGACGACATGTCGCGCCAGGACCGGCGTTGATCTCGGACTGACCCCAAATCGAGACGTTCACGAAATTGCAGGATAAAACTTCCCGGAGGAACTAAATTCAGTTTAGGAACTAAAAGTCTGCAGGGATTTAGCTCCGTGTTTGCTGCTAAGAAGCGAATCTCAAATCGATCTCTGCATCCGAATCTTTCTAGGCAGCTGATTTTCGACCCATTGGTTCGTGGGTTCGCCCTAGATTTTCCCTAGATTGTGTGATTTAGACGACGGCAAGACTGCCAAAAATGTCCCGTCCCCTCTCCCCGATGTTCAGGCATTTTAAAACATCACCAAATACGATTTTTGAATTTTACTTGAGAGATGTGTTTTATCCAAATCGAAGAGAAGTGAAACATTCTTATCTCTGCTTTCTTGATCAAAAATGTGCCGTAAACCTGAAGCAAAATGTGATCCTTTAACAAATCTGGCCTCCCCTCTTGCATTTCGAGTCATTTAGGACCAAAATATCTCGCCGATTTCATTTCTTTGAATCCAATACACTCAGACACTCGCACCGTCCGGCGGCCTCTCTATAAATCTGGGCGGGGCTGAATGCCGGCCGGTGACCGCTCCAAAAGATCATACCGCCGGCGGCCGTTCAAGCCCGCAAAAGCGCGAGGGATGCACGGAAATGCACCTGCCAATGGGAAATATCAACATCTCCTTATCTTGTCTCACTTTGATTCACGCTCGTTGTCGATTCAGTTTTTTGACGATGCATTCGTGAAGCGGTAGATTTACTAGCGGGCTACCATTACTCTACGAAGTCCTCGACAAGGTGCAGAAAATAAACTAGGGAACGATACTCAGTGTCCGTGGCCTCTTGAAATGAAATGTGTACCATTACATTTGCTTTCGAACGCTGATTCCGAATCTGACTTCCGTTCTGCTAATCGTTCCTCTGAAAGAAGTTAAGAAGGATTTTTGCGCGAAATTTGGCGCCCGAGATATGATAGCAACACCAGCCCAGGCAGTAGCTGTTGTGTAGTGCTAGTGCGACAGCCTCGCAGTTGATGCAGCTGTAGGTTCAGATCCTGTTCTATTTTTCAGTTTTGCATTGCCTCAATTAAACTTCTTTATGAGAGTTAGGTTTCGTGCATGGTAAATGCATGTTCTTACTCTCTGAAAGTTTAACGAGGAATTTTTTATACGAGCCCTACATTTATACCAAAGGTGCCCAAAAAATGAAACTGAACGGAAAATGAGCGCATGTCAACTTGTTGCCATGTTGGTGTTTCTGGCGTATATGCCTCTCGCTCCAAACTTGGCGCGAAAATCTTTTATATCTTTCAGAGAAGCATTGGCAGAAAGAAGTCAGATTCGGAATCAGCGTCAGAAGACGAGTGTAACGGTATACAGTTCATCTCAAAAGGCCACAGACACCAAGTATCGTTCCCTTGTAAGACATTGACTAGATAGGCTTTCATAAACCTTTCGATTCAAATCAGAGTGCGATTCAGCGCGATTCATAGGTTCCGATTGGAAAAACTAAAGAAACTAGCTAGCAAGGAAAGCGTGTTCAGTCGAAGTGGCCTTCAGATGAGACCCATATTGCTTTGGAGAGTGCACAATAATTTCATTTTAAATAATTACTGCCTTTATTATCCGCCAGAGCCTCTGGACGCCGAGTCATGGGCGATTTTGGATTTGAAAACTGAAGACAAAACTGGAACAAAGCTGTCCAAACTTACTCAAATGGTCCGGTGTCGAGTGTCAGAGCAGTTCATGCAACGTCTACATTTTGTCTAATATGCCAATACTTGACATTGCGTTATCTGAGCGCTGGACAGATTGTAACGATTGATTTCACCTAAATTCTGCACTCATTTTTTGCTCCAAAAACGGTCATAACTCGGCGTCCAGAGGCGCTTGCCAGATAATGAAGGCAGATTTGGAGCCACCGGGCAATACTTTCCGAAGCAGTATGGGTCTCATCTGAAAAGGCCACTTTGACTAGACACGCTTTCTTTGTAAGCAAGGATATTCGAAGAATAGCAGTGTGAGTGCTTAGTGCTTACTGGTACCACTCGATATAACTTTTTTGACGGAAAACGTTTGCCTAAAAGCATCTTATATATAAAGCTGAATGTCTGTTTGTCTGTATGTCTGTATGTCTGTATGTCTGTATGTCTGTATGTATGTACGTATGTTCCGAATAGAAAATTCCATTTCTGAACCGATCCGGACCAAACTTGGCACACATACACTACGGGCCCCGGCGGGTGTCATAGGCTACTTTTCGTCATCGATCGATATCGATTTTATCGATTTTTATCGATTTTTTTGCTGAGTTCACCTACGGGGCTGGGAGTTGGCACAGGGGGGTAATCGAGCATGGGGATTCCGGATACAATATTGGTTTTCAGGATTATCGATTACTTTTATCCATTTTATCGATTTTTTTGCAAAGTTTGAGCTAGGGGGCTGGGAGTTGGCACAGGGGGGTAATCGAGCATGCTGATCACCCCCAAGGGGGGTGATCAGCATGCTCGATTACACCCCCTGCCAAATTCCAGCCCCCTAGCTCAAATTTTCAAAAAATCGATAAAATCAATAAAAGTAATGGACGATCTTGAAAACTAATATTGTATTCGTAATCCCCATGCTCGATTACCCCCCTGTGCGAACTCCCAGCCCCGTAGCTCAAACTTTGCAAAAAATCGATAAAATGGATAAAAGTAATCGATAATCCTGAAAATCAATATTGTATTCGGAATCCCCATGCTCGATTACCCCCCTGTGCGAACTCCCAGCCCCGTAGCTCAAACTTTGCAAAAAATCGATAAAACCGATAAAAGTAATGGACGATCTTGAAAACTAATATTGTATTCGTAATCCCCATGCTCGATTACCCCCCTGTGCGAACTCCCAGCCCCGTAGCTCAAACTTTGCAAAAAAAAATCGATAAAATCGATAAAAGTAATCGATAATCCCGAAAACCAATATTGTATTCGGAATCCCCATGCTCGATTACCCCCCTGTGCGAACTCCCAGCCCCGTAGCTCAAACTTTGCAAAAAATCGATAAAACCGATAAAAGTAATGGACGATCTTGAAAACTAATATTGTATTCGTAATCCCCATGCTCGATTACCCCCCTGTGCGAACTCCCAGCCCCGTAGCTCAAACTTTGCAAAAAATCGATAAAATGGATAAAAGTAATCGATAATCCTGAAAATCAATATTGTATTCGGAATCCCCATGCTCGATTACCCCCCTGTGCAAACTCCCAGCCCCGCAGGTCAAACTTTACAAAAAAAGTCGATAAAATCGATAAAAGTAATGGACGATCCTGAAAACTAATATTGTGTTCGTAATCAGCATGCTCGATTACCCCCCTGTGCAAAATCCCAGCCTCGCATGTCAAAATTTACAAAAAATCGATAAAATCAATAAAAGTAATCGATAATTCTGAAAACTAATATTGTATTCGGAATCCCCATGCTCACTTCCCCCCCCCCCCTGTGCCAACTCCTAGCCCTGTAGGTGAACTCTGCAAAAAAATCGATAAAATCGGTAAAATCGACATCGATCGATAACGAAAAGTGGACTGTGACACCCGCCGGGACCCGAAGTGTATGTGTGCCAAGTTTGGTCCGGATACGGCGGAGCCGGGTAAGCCAGCTAGTTACCTCTAAATTGATTTTGAGTACCCTCGAAGTCAGTCTCCTTGTTACTTCTCAACATGACGTGATTTGTTGCGCCGCCTCGCTTCGGGTTTGCGCCACGTTGCGGGCGTGATTTGGCAACAAGGGCAACCTGAGCAGATAGGCGCCATGTTGTTTTTGGCAAAAAATATTTTGGCGCGAAAAATTCATACCCACAGTGTAAGTTTCCCTACATTTACCATTTTCCTAGAAGTGATCACGCTTTTTCAAAGAAAAATTTTTTCCATGTACGTATCTTGTATCTCTCATCTTCAGTGTTATATATACTCTCTTTTCTGTTTGAACTTGTTTCTGAATGGCCTTGGCGCGGCTTTTTCCATTTTGGGAACTATTTGGCAGTAGCCCTTTTTTACGTAAGATGAGGCGGTAACACATTCTTGGATAGTATGCTCAGTACCTTTTCAAGTATCCAGGAGCGGTATTTATCGTTTCCTATATAAAAGGGGTTCCTGTACAGGAACAAACGGTACATTCGCGGACAGTGGCGCTCGCGAAGTCAAGCTGCTAATC